ATTTCTCATTCAAAAAATTTGAGACCTCAACGCATTCATTTTTGGAAAGGCAGTATACTATTCCACACTGATTCTTGAAACGATCCTTTAGAAGGTCTCCAAGATTCTTTAGTGATTCTTTGGTCTTCCCAATCACTTCATATTTCAAATTTGGTCTATCAAAGCTTGTCTCTAGGACAAGAGCCCTTGGAATTCTTAAAGCTTTTATGATATCCTGAAGAGGGTTCATTCAAAAAGGAAAACATTATTTCCTTGGAAAGGGCATTAAAAGAGAAATAAAGCATTCCAAAGTAACTACCTCACGAACCGAATGAGTTGCTGTGGCAGTCAGTGCCATAACAGGGACATTGCAGAAATTCTGCTTTAGACATCCTAATCCCCTGTAATCTGGCCGAAAATCATGTCCCCACTGGCTGGAAACATAATTTAGGCAAAATATGATAAGTAGCAGAAGTCTAATGCTAGAAATTTGAAATTCTATAATGGTCTATGCGTAGTAACTCTTCTAAAAATACAACGAGACATACCATGTTTTAACTACGATTGTATATTTTAAGTAGATCTACTCTCCTAGAATTTTGTACTGTTGAATACCACTGAAGGCACTTAACAATATACACTTATATAAAAGTATCTCGCAGCAGTTGTATGGTGCTAATGTTAATGAGTAACTATAGTGCACAAACAAGTTTGCCTCAAAAGGGTGGTTTGGCTCAGCATGCTATTGTGTATTTCTTTGTGTCTAAGCTAGTTTTGGCCAACACAGAAAATTGCAGCATAATGCACTAAAGAGAGCACATACCTTACGCAATGTGCTTCATCAACAACAAAACCTGCTAATTGTCCCTGTAATTTACATGTAGCACCATTAAAGGTACAACCTTACAGAGTAAACAGTACAAGAATATAGTCAATAAGAACCTGGAAAAACAACTCACCTTCTGATGCAGACATTTTAACATTTCAAGAAATGCTGGGTTCCCAGCAATCCTTTCAGGAGTCACATATAAGAGCTTACATGATGGTTTGTCCTTCCTAAAATAAAGAAAACAGAAGATAAATGAGAAGTTCAGTTTTGGAAAATAAAGCATCAAGGAATGGAGTTAGGAATTCTTGCCATTGCATTGTTAAAAGTGAAAAAGAAAGGGTTCATATGATATTAAAGCAAGGGAGGGAAAAAAATATGCCTTAGCTCTTGGAGGACAGCTGCTGCTTGGGCAGCAGTTTGTTGAGAATTCAAAAAAGTTGCTGGTATTCCAAACTTGAGGTTCAATGTGATAATCTGATCCTGAATGAGGGAAAGCAAGGGAGATATGACCACTGTAACACCGGGTTTCAGAGTAGCCGGAAGCTGTACAAGACACACAAAAACATACAACAAAGTATTGTTAGCCATATGAACAGAACATAGCCTCTTCTGTTACTGCTAGTTTCAACCATCTAATTAAATAGATTGACTTTGTCTCTCTCTACTTAAAAAGAAAGAAAGAACCAGCATAATTTTTGTATACATAGAGATATATGACCTGGTAACATAGACTTTTACCGCCTCCAGTAGGCATAAGAACAAAACAATCTTGCTTTGCCACAGACGCTTTACAAGCCTGATGCTGCAATGGACGAAATGTCCTATTGCCAAATATTACAACATTTGCCAGTTCAAAGTCGTCCAAGGCCTGCAATTCTTCATAACTAACAATCTGATGGTCGTCCTTTGACATCTGGGGACACTGCTTTTTATTGCAAACTGAGGAAACTGAACCTTGTGTAACACTGCTTTTACAGTCCTTCAAATTACAACAAACATAAATTTTCACGTTTCAGGATAAAAAGGAAATATTGAACTAAATTTGTTTTTGAAAACAATTTTCTCACCAAAGATCTTGAAATACGTTTAGTCAGGGGGTAAATACACCACGCTTTTCCTCTTCTGAACTAAAATCTGGGTCTTCTTCACTATTGCTCGAAGAATCCAATTCCATAAAAGCCCTTGTTTTTTTAGGTTCAGGTGAATCATCAATAATATCGATGTAGCTGCCACTTGCTGTATTGTTGTTACTGATAGGATCTTCCTCAAACATGTTGGTTAAAGCTCCGCAAGCTTCTGATTCAATAGCTTGTAAATCATCATCACCCCAGTCCTCAGTGTCTTGCATAGATTCAGCCAATGCTGCAAGAAAATCATCCCCACAGCACTCAACTGTGATAAAATCTTGGCCATCATCGCCTTTCCCACCAAAAAAACAAAAGAAAGAGAAACCCATCAATACATCTATAAATAATTTTTTTTTTAAAAAGAAGAAATAAAGAGAAAAAACAAAACTATCATCACTTAGTTAAGGTTCTTCAAAAGCAAAGCCCTTGAAGGAGACAATTCCACCAAGTTCCTAGCTTCAGTATGAAAAGTGGCCGCTAACATTCTTACGGTCATCGAGTAATCCATGTTGTCAACGTCTAAAAGCTCTTTATCAACTCTAAAAGCCGGAATACCACAATCTAATACATACAATCAAAATTGAATCCTCCTCATAAATCCAACACAAACCTATACATTAGTCAAAACACTACCTTGTTTTACACTAAAAAGACAAGGAATCAACTACTCACAAATCATAAGTCGCTAACCCAGCAGTATTAAATATTCAATAAAAACTGCAGAACTTTTAACTCAAAACAAAAATTTATGATCCCATTTCACGTATCACCCTTTTTGTAGCAAAAAACGAGAATCCCAAAACCCCAGGCTTACATTCAACAAACTATCAATACCCATTTCACAAAACCCAATTTATGAAAACCCAATTCACCAAAACCTCACAAGAACCTAATCTAGCATAGTTCACAGCAACAAACAATCACCATTTTCTGAAAAACTAAAAAAGTTAACAACTTTTAAACCAATTCTTTTTCCCACTAACAAATATAAACACAACTGATAAGATAAAAGACGGGTTTACTCGAAATGGTGAGTGAATGAGTTACCATAGAGAGAAATCAAGCGGTCTAAGCATTTGTTGGCAGATTCTTCATCAAATCCGCATTCTAACGCCAAGCTCAGAAATCGAGCTCTCTCCAATTCCAAATCATGACCTCCCATTTTCTTTTCTTTTGTTTGATCGAGCTTTCTCGAATTCCAAATCGAGAATTTGTGAGCGAGTGTGGGACTGGAGGAGGATTGCGAGGGGTGAAATTCCCGCGCTTTTTTTGGCCTGTTTGTGAATGAAGGACCTCCTGTGTCTTCAAACGGTGTCGTCTCATCTAATGTTAGGGCATTTAAAGCGACTTTGTAATAATAACAATTTGCAACTATACATTTGCGGAAGTATACCCTCTTTTTTTCCTATTTCCCTTAGAATCAGTAAAAAAAAATTATTAAATTATTTTCTTATATTTAATTAAATCTTAAAAATATCAAATTTAATGTTCATACTTTATATTCTAAAAAAGAAAAAGAAAAGAGTTTATCACATTTCATATGAAACCAAATTTGAGAATGCCAACAAAGAAGATAGTGGGAATGCTTGTGTGTGTTGGTGTTCAAGTCATCCTTAGTTTACTATATAAAAATTATACAATTTTAACGATACTATTATTATATTTTTTTTCTATTTTAAATATTTATAAATAATGCGATCTTCTTAAATTAGTTTTTATATAAATCGAAATTAAATCTATTACTTTCTAAACTATATTAACATTGAATCATATTTAATTTTTGATTGATTTTAAAAAATCAAAATTTTTAAATCTATCAACAATCTATGTATAATAATATACAAAAAAAGATATAAGAGTTTTTCAGAAATGAAAATTAGACCTGTTGAGTCACAAACTCTTCTTACCACTCCACCAATAACTTTTTTCAAGGGATGAATATGAATTCTAACTGGCTATACAAGTGTATAACTTTTTTGTTCAATCATAAGATTTCAATTCCTTGCCCAGTAAAACTGCTACCATCAACATAATCTTAGGTAAGCTTATACAACAAAAGAAAAAAAAATCAGGTTTTATTATCTTTTCAATTTCACAGGCTAGAATCTAGGCTTTTCTTCTAAATATTATGCTGTAGTCACTCCGCACTCTTTTACATAAAGGGTGCCATATTCCATGATTCCTAGAAGGTCCCAAAACACTTATTATTTATCATCAGAATAGTTCTGATGGGTGCCAGGATCTTCTCCCCTGTCAGCACAAATTCCTGATACCTGTCTGCAGGATCGGAAGCTTATGAATGCTGTTGCATTAACCCTATAATCATTGTTCATGCACGACACACGGTTTTAGGTTGGACAAATGAACATGTATTATTACCACATGATCAAGAGACTCAAGCAGGATTAATCTCTTGCAGATGTTTTCGGATTTCGAGGAGTTTCTAATGTCGAAAATTTGCACGACTTAGCAAAAAAAGAAAAGCAATTAAAGAAACGATGGGAATACCCCAAACCATCCTTCTGTTAATTTTCCTTCTAGGCATGTTTTTTGAAACTGGAAATTTGGTTTATTTATTCAAGAAGCTAAACAGAAAATTAAGCAAATGGGAACAGAAAATTAAGCAAATGGGAATAACTCAATCATCTTTTTCATCTTAATTTGTTGTATTGATGTGTGAAAGATGGGTGGAAATTCATGGCAAGACCCCTAAATAATCCCATAGATCCAACAAACAAAAATTTCAAGCGCAATTTCCCAAGAAAGGAAGATTTATCTTGTTTTTGGACATGCATGGCCAGATGCAAAAAGATCAAAAACGAAAACCTGAAGGGAACTTACATTAAATGATGAAAAAATTCACATCCCTTTTACAGTTTCTTGTTCATGAAATCACATGAAACAGATCTTAATTATAAAGATAGTAAACAACAAGAAGCATTCAACAGTTACAAAACCAACCTTAATTTGCAAATGCAAGAATGGTGTTTTCAAAACACCTTTACAAACCTTAATCTCCTTCTTAAATACATGTCATTTGTTTGATCCTCTCTTTTAGGCTTCAGCTATAGATGTATAATCCTATAGCAGGTTCTCTTGACCCAACGAAACCCTTTCTTTAAAGAAGACTTAACTTTTCCTTCGACGGTATAAAGCTTATATCTTGCAACACGTTTTTTCCTCTTTGTCTCTGGTGAATTCCACCATGACGTGGCAGAACTTGAAGATTTCTTTGAAACGTTATGCTTCCTGGAAAAATCATAGGATGGGCAAGATTTTGCATGTCTTGGTGGAGTTACAGTTTTGGCATAAACATTGATCTCGCCCATCTCGATTGATCTACCTCTCTCTGCAACAGAAGGGTCAAATGGGAGAGACGGGGAGAGAGGGAGGTTGTCTTAGGCCTTTTATCAAGGGAATGAGAGAGGCAAGATTTTGTTAAAGACAGCTTTGTGCTTCGAATAATACAACATTCTGTTATAACAGAATGTTATGTTATTTCCTATTTTTTCTCTCATGAAATGGACCATTAAAAAAAAATCTTCTTTATTTATTAATTGAATCGCATGGTAATTCAATAAATCTCGAAATATCTCGAGTTATATCGCTCGTTGATGAGATGATTTTAGCTAGGTTCTGTGGTCCGAATGGATATTTCAGGATAATGCTTTTGTTTCTTGGAAAGGAAATGCAGAAAGTTTAACAAATTATAAAATTATGTAGAAATACTAATTTTTTTTTTTTTTTTTCATTTTGAATAAATTAGTTCAAGAAATTTGAATAGAGAGCATTCTTTTTTTCCATTTTTTTTCTTTTTTTCTCTAAACTAAATGGATGTATATATACAATGAAACTATTGTCTAACAACTAATGAATGGAAAAGAAAAACAAGTGCTTAATTAATCACTTATTTGATTGCCCATGCTTGTTATCATCTTCCAAATCTCTTTTATTTTTAGATCCCTTTTTGGCATTCTTGGGGTTATCCATGTGAGAAACCTGTAGAGAAAACCAAAAGAAAAGGTTACAAGTTGCAAAAGAATACAAAATCTCATATGCATTCACCAATAAATGTCTCGCTATTGATACTTACTATGCGGGACTTCCACTCGATGTTGTCATGTGCCTCTGGGAGACCAGCAGACTGAGAGTGATTGCGAACGTGCCGGAAAATGTGGATAAGTACAGCAGCATCAAGAGCAGCATACTCTAGCTGCAAAATAATATTGCTTTAGTTTGCTTTGTTTCTAATTCCAAATGAATGTAAAGATCGGCGGCTTGGTCTTATGCACATCCACACATCCATGAGGACACGACAAAAACACACAAAGAGAGACAAATCAATCAGCATATTTGGAACTGCAATCAGAGAACTCCTTAATTGAAAGTAGAATGACATCTAGGAAGCAGTTATTAAACCTCTTTGTTTCACGGCCCAAGGCAGAGTAGAAGTTATAGCAGATGGAAAATGTCAACAAAAATAAACAAAAGTAAATACCTGGTTCTGACTCAGAGGCCGCAGTTCCCAATTACTGTTCCGTCTTGTCTTGTTCAAACCCATCCCCAGTATTTTCTGAATTAATGAAGTAAAAATAATGGTATATAAAGGCAAGATAGAGAATCATAAACTGAAATGGATTTAGATTCACCAGGAGATATAGAAGATAAAGACAGGAAGCGACGGTGGTGTCTTATGTTTAAAATACCTCTGCAAGTCCTGACAAACCACCTCGAGGTTCTTTGAATACATTCTGAATGTCCAATAACATCTCATAGTTTTTGAAACACTTCAACCCTCCATATGCATGAGCTAGCTGCTTTATGTCACATTGGAAGTTATAACCTACAAATCCACATAAAGCAGTGACCATGTTTATTTAAATAGTACGATTTTTTTTTCTCAATTTCTAAAGAAAAATTGTTACTTAAAAAATCATTCATTCAAGACATTCAAAAGGAGTTCCATAGGTACTGTAGTAATGGAAAAATTCCTGACCATCTGTGGCAAAGAGAGTCTTTAGTTAGGTCATTTGATGAGGGTCCAACTGCTATTGTCAACCTAAGTAATCCAAATATTCCTCTCTTGTGAGTTAATTAAAATCAATTATAAGTGTTCTGACTCCTAAGAGCAGACTGTACCAACAAATGTTATCCCAAAACTTAGAAAGTAGAGCTAATAAGAGGACAGGCCCTTCTCTAGAATATGTAAAATTTCGAATCAAAAGATTCTAAAAACTTGTATCATGATAAAACACTGATCCTCCCCAAATCAATCTGTTTGTATAAATCATACCAAGTTTAAGAATTCTAGGAGACTGCAAAATGCGGGTTAGGCAGTTGTCTAAAATATCAGGCACGTCTTCAAATAGCTTTATCAAGTCAAAGATGAAAACCGTCTTATCAGAAGCAATTTGCATGATAGAAACCTGAAACATGAAAAACCCAGTTTAATTATAGAATGAACAGACTATATGGCACATACAAGGATAAACGTGTAACATTTTTTATGATAACAGCCAGGTGTTTTCAAGAAGAGAAATTTAACTATCCATCAGATAGTGGCAACCAACACAAACCACATTAACTAATTCTGGAAATCCCACCTTTTTTTTCTTTTTTTTGGGTCAAAGAGCACATTATAATTACCTTGTTTGGTTTGCTGTCTTTTACATAATTAGGTTTCCATTCACAATCAAGGCCTACTACTTTACATCCCTCGATGTGGTTAGTTGCAGAACACAGACCATCAACTTCATCAACCCAAACAATATCTTCAACAGCCAATTCATTGAGATGTAGGTATCTGCTTTGCAGATCACTTGCCTCGGGTTCTGAACAGCATCAAACAGAAGCAGAGTAAGTGCCTTACTAAAACAATTTCCAACATTAATAGCCACCAAGTACAATCTTATTCCTATGTTTCTATTGCTTTAGTGCTCCTTTCAAAAGAAGCATGCATTACATTACCATCCCACCACAATGTTTCCTGGATCTGGTACTTGGCAGGTATCCATTAATGGAAAAAAAGAAATGAAGGAGCAATTGGCCTGCCCCATGGGGCAAGCAACACAAAATTATGCCAACATCAATCTATAGGGATTTCCCAGTGGGGCCTCAACCTGACTTTTATCTTTTAGAGTCCATATGGCAAACAAATAACACTCCATAACTATGCGATGCCTATGAGAGCTTTTGGAGTGACTATTTCACAGGTATTCTTGGTAAGGATAGTCATGGGTCAAGTGCTTTCCCTGCAACTTTCAACAGGAAGCTCAAACTTAAAGAGCACATGCAACAGAAATTCAGATCCAAGCTTAAACTTTGTTAACATCTTCATAAGCATGTTAAACTCAAATTGTGTGTCAGTCAAGCTAGAATAGGATGCTCGATGGAGAAATTGAAAAACATACACAAAACATACCTTTGCCATTCAGGAAACCTTCAAGGGAGTATCGTTCACACAATTCATCAACCTTCTCCGAGTAACCAGCCTCCATTGCCAAGTAAACCTGAAAAGAAATCTACATGAATGAGTACAAGTTATTTAGAATGTACACAAAAAATAACCAAAGGAACAAAAAGATACATATTTGCCATTATTTCTCCAAATAGTAAAAATAAAACAACTATAAATTTGGTTACCCTCTTTTTCAACAGATCTCCAAAAGAAACAGTTTGATATGTGTGAAAAATGCTTATCCTATCTCATTAACATTTTTAACTGACTTGATTGCATTTTCTCACTATCAACCCAATAATTTTACTGAAATATGTGAAATTATACTATAAGAAAACTAAAGATTAACTACAGGGCAAGCATTTCGAATAGGGTGAAAATAGTAGATAGTGCACCATCGACGCAAACATATCTCGTTTAAAGAATTTTGAACCCCCCCCCACCCTCCTCCCCCACACACCCAACCCCAAAAAAAATAATAAATAATAAATAAAAAAAATCTGCTAGAATCCACAACTGAAAGTAAGTTTCACGATCTGACCACATGAAATATTTTGCTGGACATAGTGAAACCATGCAAGTTCTATATAATAAAGCTCCCATCTTCAGAGAAGTCGAACCATTATGTAATGTACAGCATCATGCATGTCATGATTCTTCCTTACCAAATATTCAAGAAGTTGTTTATCACCATGTGTCTTTGCCTCAGCAAGATCCCATAACGCCTTTTCTGCTAACTTCTTCAATGAGCTGCCAGTTAGTGCAAGCTTTTAAATGACAGGGATTAAAGTAATAAGAAGTAAGAATACAACAAAATACAATTTTGAAGGGATTATATAATGCGGTTTGGGCACTATAAATCAAGTAATATACCTTTCTTTGCACTTATGATATACATCAGGAAATTCCTGCTTCAAATTGTTTTTCTTTATTGTCTCATAAGCGTGCTTTAGCATGTTCCTATCAACATACTCTTGAACAAGTAAACATAGCATTGGCTTCCCCATAAATGTAGCCCACTTTTCAGCTGCTCTAGATTGTTTGTTCTGCATCATTTTGAGGAGGAAAGACTGTCCAGACTGTCGGATAGAGAAGTGTTCCAATAAACTGACAGCTGTCATATATGATTGGGAGTCTACCAACTTAAAAATAAACTCTTCGACAAATGCTTTTGCTGTGTCAGACCTATAATCATTTTGGGCCTTCAATTGGCATATGGCTTCATCAATATCTGTCAACTTGACATCAAAAGCTTCCAGTATCTTCACTAATATCCGCTCATCATGGTTGACTAAGCCTTCCACGGTATCCAAAAATAACCGTGCTGCTGGAACTTTTGCCTTCAAAGTGTCCTCTGAGGCGGGGGCTAGTTTTAGAAAGCGACGAAGAGCAGATATAATCAAGTGACTGAATCCTTCACAATATAATTCAAATATTGGCAGAACATAGAGGCACCAAACAACAAAAGTAGCAGGCCCTGGTTGGGGAGAATTCTCCAGTGCCTGATAGACATTTTGCTGAAGAATTCTGAACTTTTTTGTTGCCTTACATGTACCTGTCATGTTATAATTTAGAATCATGTACTAGAAAGCACTCAAAATGACCACAATTCGAACCAGAAGACAATCACTAATAGAAGATTAATTACAAAGTCAGCCAGATATGATTTGAGTTTAAAGTCATCTTACCATTTAGTCTTACTTACAACACAATTGTATCATACCAGTTAGTCTTGAGAAAAATCAGATGTTTAAAATACTAGACAGCATTAACTAGTCCTATTCAGCATCCACCTCAGAAGCTAATATAACCTCAACAACAAATATCAAAGTTCAATCACACAAATCAGCCCTTCAGAACATAAAAAATGTTGAGAGGAGTGCTGTGCAGCAAGATACTCAAACCTCTACATATGCACCTCAAATCTCTATAAATGGTGAATGAAAGTAGTATTCAGGAATAAGAAAAGAAGCCTCAAAATAGGAGATGTTGGACCTCTGATTCTGATAGTAAATTCAGTTTCAAGACTAGAAAGTGGACCTAAGTCAGATGGTTCAAAGATTCAAACCAGGATGTGACCTGGAACTTATTATACACAGTACATTGAGATATGCGACTACAGGTACCAACCAAAATGCCACACACATCAGTTTCCTTTAATTGCACCTGGAAATTAATCACTGAAGTCTAAGACTGACATTAAGTCCAACCCAAGTGTGTAAAACAAAGAGGGGTTATAAAATTGACATTCTGAGAACATATTAGTACCCACCACGTGTTACATCCTGCAACATTCAAAATCAAATTAACACCCAAAATATAAGCAGATGGCTAACTACAACGGTAAACTAAACCAGTCAAGCAAAAACTTCCACATATAACAGAATCGAGCTTGTCGATAGAGGAAAAAAAGGCTCTTACCATGAGCATAACATTCTTTCAGGAGGTATAAGAATACTACTGGAGAAGTGTGGGTTAAATCGGAAAAAGTATGAGCACATATCGTTAATGTTTGATCAATTTTTTCCTTGTTGTCGTGTAACTCTGCAACTCTCTCCTCCATGCCCATATCAAAGCATATGCCAATAATCCTACAAAATAATAATAATAATAATAATAAATTGGAATAAAGATAGCAAATCATAAACAATAACATATAAATTAACCAATCACTTCTGATTCATCAAACCCAATAATGGAGCTATGGTCAAACAAATTAGTCGTGACTAAATTATTCTGCTCCAAGCATAAAAAACCAAAAATGTCTCATTTACAATAAAGCAGAGTGAATGAGAATATATATATACATCCTTTACCAAAACTAAACATAGTTACAATTTGGAATTCACATTACATATTATCTTATTTATGTAATTTTAAATATTCCATATTTCAATTTATCAGCAATCAAACAGATATTAAATTTCCATAAAAAACAAACCAGAAAATTTTTTTCCCTTAGACAAAGTTTTCAAACTCATACGACTATATGAAACTCAGTTTTGAGTCTTTCATTATTACTATTTACAAAAAAGAAAAGAAGAGCCAGCAACAAACATAAATATTCAACTTTTATTCATTTTCCTCTTTTTTTCTCAGCAACCAAACAGATAGCACAAAGTAATTAAAACAACAATCACAGCTAAGGCCAGTAAAAACATCGCATTAAATCAAATCTAAAAAGCTTTTCTTCTTCACACATTGTTGAACTGTTTGGTTACTAAGAAAATAACAAAACAAAATCAAAAGAGATAGAAAAAGAAATTACAGAATAATGAAATCTAATGCCGAGAAATGCAGCAGTTGAAGTCCTCGCTCTTCTATGAGAAAACAATTACGAGAGAGATTAAAAATTTCCTACGTTTTCTTTCACTTTCTCTCTTTTTTTCTCAGCAGCCAAACAGTCAGGGGTAGTAAAACTTACCGGTATTTGTCCTATTTCCAGACTTTTCCGTCCTCTACTTCTCTCTGTGAAATGGAGTCTGTTTTTTGCCTCTTTAGGATGCTCCTTTGTTTACATAGAGACAGCCGGGAGGAGGTAAATAACATACCAAAATAAAACATTTCTTTTTCTTGGATATTTACTGCTTTAATTTCATATCATTAACGAATAATTATAATTAAGTCAATATAAATATTGAAAATTGAATTATAATTTTTTTTTAATTCATGATAACTTTTTTTTTTATCGCTGACCACATTTTTTAATTTTTTTCTTCGTACTTAGTAAAATATAGAAAGAGTTAATTATACTTTTGTTTTTTGCCTACCATATCTTTGCCAAAAATGGCAATGTGGGCCCATTTGTCCCATGTTCAAATTTTTCTTTCAAATCTTTCAATTTACATTTATTCGATTTTTAATTTTCAATAATGATTGTGACATATTAATAGATCTATTCACTTAATTGTCAAAAAACAACAACATATATCAATAAATTTAGGATATAATAATATATATTTTTTTATTTTTAAGGTATCACAATTTCAAAAAGCTAGACTAATCTCTTCTTCTTTTGTTATGTACACCAGGTGAGCATTATTATCTTAAAAGTTTTATATATATATAAGGATTTAAACTCGAAACTATTTGTTTTAACGACTATAAGTTTTTTTGCTCAAGCCAATCTTTTTTAATTAATAATAATGAATATCATATATTTGTAAAAAATTTACAATTCAGATTTTTTTAAGAATATTTGAGTTAAAAAAAAATCTCATTGCAAGAGTAGATTAAAATAACCTTTTATTTTTCGTAGTGATATGTAGCTAATTTCTAATTATTAAAGCTAACTTTCTTGTTGTCTAATTACTGATTTTGGAGTCTTAAACAACGTAAATGTATGATTATTATCTCAATATATTTCGATAAAAATTGTTGTAAAAAAATCAATCGGTAATTTACCGGTTAGAAATTATTACTAAATCAGTTGAAGAATTATTCTGACCAATGCGATGTTTAGTAAATATAACTCCCTTGAACTACTTGCAATAAAAAAAGGAAGTGCTTGTGGTTTTATATAAATAAAGCATTCAAGCATGTAATTAAAACACGAGCGAGTTATAAATTTGTCCTTTAGTTTTGCAAAATAATTTAAATAATTCTTCTTAATTTAAAAACTAATTAATTAATCATTTAACAAATATTGATCATGATTAATTTAACATTAATTTATTCTAAAAAATATCTTATTTTCTCGTAAATCTTTTTATATTTTATTTTATTTTATTTTTTTAAATAAAGTAAATTACAAAGGAATGAAAAAGATTAAGTTATAAATATATTTTAAAACACGGGAACTAATTAATTAATTATTGAAACTAGAGGGATTGCTTTAAAACACGGGCGAGTTATAAATTTGTCCTTTAGTTTTGCAAAATAATTTAAATAATTCTTCTTATTTTAAAAACTAATTAATTAATCATTTAACAAGTGTTGATCATGATTAATCTAACATTAATTTATTCTAAAAATATCTTATTTTTTCGTCGATCTTTTTATATATTTTTTTAAATAAAGTAAATTACAAAGGAATGAAAAAGATTAAGTTATAAATATATTTAAAAACACAGGAACTAATTAATTAATTATTGAAACTAGAGGGATTGCTTTATTCCTTTTGAAAAACTAAAGAGACTACATTAATAATTTACTCATTAAAGCATCTAACCAACCCCCGCCCCCCCCCCCCCCCCCCCCGGCGGGTTGCCATTTTTTAAGTAGAGGAGAGAGGAAAAAAAAACCCTAAACTGCACCTGTTGACACCTTTGCTATTCTAAATATCGAATTATGAAAAATATTTTAAAATGAAATAAAAATGGTGATTATGTGTTTGGAAGATGCAAACAACTTTGAGTTTCCAATTTCATTATTTCCCACTTCAATGGGAGGAAAAAAACAAAGGAAAAAAGAAGAGAACATCATTACCATGATTCCTTAAGTTTTTAACTAACCACACAAAGTTGTAAATTCAAAGTTTGTGTTCAATTTCTTATTTCAACATAGTCAGTGCATCTTATTCTCACTCTAGTCCTTATGCCAGAAATTATACTCCTGATTTTCTCTTTTATATGGTTAGAAAAATATTATTTCTTTGGAGTAAATCATAAATTAATCCCTTTAGTTTTTTCAAAAGGAATTAAATAGTTTTCCTAGTTTTAAAAACTAATTAATTAATCCCTATGTTTTTAAATCTATTTGTAGCTTAATTTTTAAAATTTTTTGTTTTATATGTATATTAAAAAAAAACTGACGAGAAAAAAGATATTTTTAAAATAAAATAATATTAAATTAATCATGATCAGTATTGGTTAAAGGATTCATTGATTAGTTTTTAAAACAAACAAGACTATTTTATTTATTTTGCAAAATTAAAAGGACTAATTTTATAATCTACTCATTTCGTTGTCATGAAGAGATAACCTACCTATCCTAACAAAAAAAAAAAAAAAAAAGAAGAAGCGAGCCTATCATGAATTTCATATCCAGTTGCTATTTAAAAAATTTTCTCCCATTCACTGTGAATCCCCATGTTTTTATTTTGGGATCCAAAATAATTGAGTTTTCTCTTCTTCTTCTTCTTTTTTCTTTTTTATTGGAATAATTGTAACACCACTGTAGTTATTTTATCTGTATTCCTTCTAATAATAATTTGGAAAAAAAAAAAGAAAAAAAAAAGCTAAGGAGGGTTAATATCCTAAGCATAATAACTCAAATTGTATTTTTTTTTTATTCAACAAAAAATCAATTATTCTTGAATTGTACAATTGAGGATAAAAATTTCCGAATCTCAATTCTTTGGATAAATCAATGGTTTGATTGAATTTACCTAATATAATAAATCATTCGATAACCCTTAAAAAAAAAATCTTTATCGATATTTGAAAAAACTCATATTAGAAAACGAATCGAGTAAAATAATAAAATAGAAATATAAAAATAATTACACATAACAAAAATTTTACATGATTCAACAATAGTGTCTATTTCACAACTACATTAGAATTTTTTATTAGATTTTGTCAAGTACCTAATATTTTACATACAGTCTAATATTCTATATAATGTCTTATATCATAATTCTCCATCCACATAAGTTTTCATAATTTAATCTATCAATTATTATTAATTGAAAAAAGTTGATGCACCAAAAAATTTCTAACCAAAAAGATTCCACAAAGCCTAAACTTTACGGACTCATAAATGTGCCCATGAATATTTTAGTGATATATGGTAAAAAACAAAGAACTCGTCTAAAGTCGTTCCCTTCCTTAACAATGACATGTCTAGAATATTAATGAAAGGCATTTCCCATAACATGAGTAAATTATAAATTAGTCCTTTATTTTATAGAAATGAATTCATTAGTCCTTTTTGTTTCAACAACTAATTATTTATCCATATATATATTTTTTTTGCAATTTAATCATTTCCTCATTTTTCAATTTAATTTGATTTTTTAGTTTAAGAAATAAAAAATAAAAAAAATATGGAGGGGTTTATGAAAAAATAACATATTTTGAAATAAAATAATATTAAATTAAATTTGATTAATATTGATCAATGGGCTAAATAATTAATTTACAAAAAAAAAACTGATTAATTTATTTCTGAAAAATAGAAGGATCAATTGATGATATACTGTCCATAATAAATAGGCCCAAGAAGATATGGCAGCCATGAAAGCTCAGTTTCACAGTTATGGCTGCATAAAAGGACAATTATTTAATTTTATTAGAAAAAGGGCACTTACTTTTTGATATTTTTGGCGGCGATTTTGTGGTACTTGTTACCCAATCCCTTCAAACTTGTGGACCGTACTAGAGTAGCTGGCACGCGAGCTCCACATGGTAATGGAATTTGGATCTGCTGATAAAAGGGCCCAGGTCCATGAAAAGAGACAGGGCCCGACCCACTCGTTTGTTATTTTTACAAGTGATCTATTTAAAAAATCAAAATCAAAATTTGAGATCATTTTTTAATATTTTTCACCTGTATTGGAAAGGAAAATTATCAAGGTCATGGTTCTTACTTTTTAGTCAAATTGGATCAACGTGTCGTTGACAAATTTTTCAATATCATTTTACCTTAATATCTTTTACTAAATTGTAAATAATTATTTAATATCCTATGTAGAAATGAAACTATCAAAATATAAGTGTTTTCTTTGTATAAACATCATGGAAGAATATAATTACAACTCATTTTTTGGAAAGTAAACTGTGGGGGTGATAACGGTTAGGTTAAAAGTTCAAAATTTAGGTCCTTAAACTTTTCTACAGCTTTACTAAACAAACTCTTTTTTGGTCCAATTTCTTCAAAATCACAACTCATTTACTCAATCAGAATAATTACTAACATATCTATAAGATATTTTTATATCTATAACAACATTGAATAAATTAAAGGTCTTTTGACTAGAGTTGGAATCGATTTAACGACAGTTTTTTATCATCATTGAATGGTCTTTCATCACTCGGATATTTATATCTCACTTAATGAGTTGACGGAATAAGATGATTTAAATTATTTTGTAGTGACTTAAATTATATTTGTTTAATTTTTTAATCTAACTAATGGCTTTTAATATCATTCACTTTTACTATCTAATTCTTAAATTATGGTTATTTGTTTATCAAAAAAAAAAAAAAATTAACTCTTCTCTATATCATAGTGAAGATTATGGCTTTCAAGCATCATTTTATAGATATATTAGTAATTATTGTTAAAATTTTAAAAGTAATTTCATCTTAATGCACCATATTACATTTTCAACTTAAAATCAAAGCTAGCATCTTCAATCAATATCCATATAAATTTAGTAAAAAAATGATAATACCGATCTATTGATCAATCAAATAAAAAAAATTAATGAATCCACAATAGTCTTTTACTATCATCTCTCAATTTATATAATCATTTACTCAATCAGACTCGTTTGATTAAAAACTCTAACAAACCAACCATCTGATCAACAGTTCTAATTAACTAACTACCCTAATTAACTTAAAACCAAGTTTTCCGTGCTTCTTCTTATCGTCCAAGAGCCCGTATGCATTAATGCCATGAGTTTTTTTCATTGATCTCAAATCAATATCTTCACAATTTCACTTTGGTCCTCGAAATTTAAGCATTGGTTTAAGTTGGTTTTGAAACACATAAATTTGATTTCCCATTAAACTAAGAAATAGAATTAAAAATTGGTTATGCTTCAAATTTAGTTAGTGTTCTTTTCTTTCTCTTTTTCTTTTTCTCTTTTCCTTAGAGAGATGGAGAAAAAGAGATATCTGGGTTAAAAAATACATGCTTCATTATTGGATCACTCCATGAATTTTTCTTTACTAACTTTTCTTTCTAGAATCGATTGAATATTATCTCTGCAAACTCTGTATAATGACTGAAAATTGAATTGAGAAAGATGTTCTTATTGTTCCAAAATTGTGTGATTAAATTTTGAAAGTTTGAATTAAAAATATATTAATTATAATTGATTAATATATTTTAATTGATGTTGTAGAAAAAAATATAAAATGACTTTATAGAGTAGATATGGGTAATAGTGTTTCGAGGATTAAATTAAAAAAAAGGAAACAATAAGTAAACAATATCAACAATCTAAGTTTATTTTGGAATTTCTTTTATTTAGATTTAGTAGATTGCTCACAAGAAGAAATGGGTCTGAGCATAATTCAATTTTTGGTTGTTATAAAATTGCCATTTCTCAAACATACTTTAATCATTAACACCAGGGAAAAAAAAAAACGAAAACAATTCCTATGTAATAAGCGAAGAGCAGTTAGCTAGGCACTATGAAGTTCTGATTAAACTATCAATTACTATCCCTAGCTTTGAAAAAAAAAAATTAATTAATTAATCTTACTTGTTATAAAAACTAATTATTATTTTTTTATTTTATGTTCTTCTCTAATTTTGTTTTCAAAAATAAAAAATAAATAGATATTATGAAAATATTAATAAGAAAAGAAAACATTTTATGGAATAAAAAAACAAATTAAGAGTGGTTAATACTGGCCAAGAGACTAAACAATTAATTTTTTTTAAAAAAGAAAGCTCATTAATTCATTCCTAAAAAATAGAGGACTAATTTATAATTTACTCATTAAATTCACTGCATATGATTCGCAGATCACAACAACAACAGCAACCACCAAAAAAAAAAAAATAAATAAATAAACAAATAAAAAAGAAGAAGAAGAAAATCCTTTGCCATTGGCCAGGTTACTGAAGACTGGTGCCTCTGATTTAAGGGAATCGAATCAAGCTCAAACAATCTGAATCCAAATTCTTAACTGACAAAGATACTTCCTAAGCAGCGACAAGGGCCTCCCCCTCCACCAAATGGCATTCTTCTACAAATTTGCAAGCAGTTAATATCACCTGTCTGTGCTCATTTTTTATCATGAGTTATCACTCCCATGCCCAACCCCATGTTTCTAAAGCACTCCACATCTGAATACAACTTTCCAAACCCTCTTGAGAGGATGCCAGCCTTGATTTGGATGAGACTGCTCACTCTTTTCTCGTTCTCCAGATGTGTTTTCTCAAGCCAAGCAGTGAAGTTGCTGGTTGGTGAAGACAGAAAGTGTGAGAGCAACTTTCAGCTTCAAAGATGACGAAGGTTATCTCTTGGCAGGCAAGCCAAGCAATGACAAACACCAGCTGAACTTTCTCAAGCACTCCATATACTTCGTTGCATTCCTAGCCACTCTTTGAAGGTCAAGGGACCTTATTTTGTGAGTGTAGCGTCAATGGCATCTCCTGCCACTAGTCTGCTGCCCAGGGATACCCAGAAGGATGTGTGAGATAGGGACTATCCAGGAAGCTGGCATCTATTACGTACAATGTTCAGCTCTGCCCCCTTTCAACTAGGTTTTCTCTAGTTGGCAGCAAATACAAACAAGCTCTCCAAATAAAGGCCTTTTACTTTGGTGGTAGATTAAATTTCCAAAGAGACTTCAACAATACAGAAGAGAAAGCATATGGAACTTGATATTGAGTAACCATCATATTTAAAACAACAAAAACGCAGTTCATGAACAATGCCGGCGTACCAGGTACAATTTGTTGTCAAGGTAATCGACCTGGAATCACTGATGCAACCCAGTTCATGAGCTTTATTGCTTTTTACAGTGTACTAAGCGTTTGAAATCTATTCTGGCAGCACTTCAAACAATAAATTTTGCTGGAATACCTGAACGAGGGTAAGGATTCACCTTTTTAATCAGACTTATTTGTTTAAAATATAATCAAACTGGTTTTAGGCTGAAAAGAGTTACCATTTTGAAGCATTCGGACTCTTTCTTTAGTTCTTTCCCCATATCTTCGGGGAGAGGGAAGTTAGGAATTGCCCCTGCCTCTCTGAAAATCTATAATAAACCTTAGGTCAACACACCATGAACGATATTCACCAAAGGCAGCACATGAGAATGTGATAAATGGAAATGATATCAAACTTCAAACAAAAATCGAAACTTTATGTGTGAGAGACCATTTGATCCAATATTGGCACATTCTGACTCTAAAACAACTGAAAGCAACAAGAGAAAAAGTGCAGAAGAAGCATGTGAGGGACTGCAAGCTATAAAGCAAATGTGCAGATTGGAGTTTTCTTTTGCTACCCAAACAGATTTTCCTTATCAAAATAATGTTAGTGTTACTCTTGCTCCACTCAAAGTAACTTCAAGATCTTGTTCTCGCCGTTCTCTGGTGTTATCCAGAATTCTTTAAGAATAAAGACATATCATTATGATAATACATGTTCAATCTAAAAAGATGATGCTCTTTTGACTTCCACAACTTATCTAGCAAATCAAGGGATACAGATGCCAAAGCAGTCTTAGTTATTTGGGAATGAAGCTTTTTTATTCTGCTGATTATATCACTACTTTGTGCTTAGAATATTAACAGTGGCTAACATCGGACGTTCTGAACCCCCCACCCAAAAGCAAAACAAAATCATTACTTAAATAGGTCACTACTCATTTATGCTACATGCCCATTTCGTAAGTTGACAAAGCATACCAGTTTGAACCCTTCGTGAGAATGCAAGAATTCCATATCTTGGAAGTTCAAATAATCACTCTGCTGTAACATGACTGATAACCGGATGATTGCACAAAGAGCTCTGCATTTCTGCTTTAACTGAAATGAACATAGAAACGCATGGTAAATTAAATCATAAGTGCATAAAACTCTTAACTACTAGAAAGAATGATGGCATTTTCGTAAGAGAATACAGCATATAAGATACCTCTTCAGCAAACTCCTGTAACGAGGCTCCATCAAATTTTGGGAATTTCTTCCTGTGATGTCTTGTAAGCAGCGCTATTAACTATAAAATAAACTTTTATCACTAGAGAGAATTTTCATAATGTACACATTGTGGACAAAGCATAATCAATAGGTAGATACTCGTACCTTGACTTCTTCAGCACTGTATCCTTGAAGATGATTTCCATTCTACACAATATAATCAACTTGGTAGAACAAAGATTAAATAACAGAGAACAATAACTCTCTACACCACATCGGATGTTCAGAAAAAGAAAAAGAAAACGCAGTTCTCCATGCATAATATTGTGCACTAGAGTTCATAGATATTTCTGAAACAAAATTCAAACTGTATCCAACTAAATTTCAGAGCCAAATGCCACCAAGTATAGATATGTTGCACTCACACAAGACCATTGAAATCGTAAGAGCATTCAGCTCAGCACCTCATGTTCATGAAAGGATCAGAGTGCTTACCGTGATAATGCGATAAGACTGCTTGTGGTAACCCTTTTTACCAGTGATGAGTCCTATATTGTGAAGTAAACAGGCAGCTTCAAGACATTCAAGATCATTTACATCCAAGGAGAAATTAAGTTGATTTCCAGCAACCTCTCCCCATTTTCTCAAGCCCTCACAAATCTCCTGTAAAAATCATCAAGTCATTCCATCTCCTCAAACAATCCTTCTTTATTCTATTAGAATCTCTAAAAGGCAAAGTTTTTGTTTCTCATTTAGCCTTTTGTGCTTGAATTGAAACTCAAAAGTTTAAAACCTAGTGGACAAAGAAACAGATGCTGCACCAGATTATCTCACCTAGCACCAACAAATAACATATTTAAGCTACATCAAAGTATATTCAAATTAGCAAACAGAAAAATCTAGTATTTTCTTCATCATTGAACAAGAAAATAACTTACACTGAAACAAGTACTTCAAGAAAGTAAACAAACACAAGAAGTTCCGATTACCTTGGCAATGCTAGCACATTGTGCAGCAGATTTAATTCCTTTCTTCCCACTAAACCTTGTTGCAAGCCTTACAACAGAATGCCACCTCGCATTCGCATTCAGATCATAACCCTCAAAAACCTTAGACAATGTTTCAGCAATAACTCCCTCTCCTAATGCATATCCAGAAACCTCCATCTCTTGAATTCCAAGCACATCAAATATCTCCTCCAATAACACAGCACCAGCAACAATAAACTCCGATCTCCTCTTAAAGAACCCATCTCTCTTAATCCTCTCTTGCTCTCCTTCTCTACACACACTCTCAACAACACCATTCAACTCCCCTCTACTAAACTTCCACTCCCTCTTACAATCCCTTAACAAAACCTCATTATCCTCAACACACTCTTTCCCATAACCATTAAAAACAGCCTTTTCAATATCTCTAATAGTCCCCGAAGTCCCAACAACAACCTCAAAACCACCAAAATTGTTAACTTTTTCAACTAACTCAGATTCCTTAATAACTGACTTGACAAACTCTCTCATTTCAATCAAGTTACAATCTTTACCAAACTTTTGTGTTAAACCCACATGACCCAACTTCAAAGACACCCCAAAAACAACATTCCCTCTTTCCCCAATCACAAACTCAGTAGACCCTCCTCCAATATCAATAACCAAAACTCTTTTATCAAAAACTGGCAAAAACTGAAGCACACCCAGATAAACATACCTCGCTTCCTCTTCACCAGATAAAACAGAAACTTCAAAACCAGTTGTTTCAAGAACTGATCTTTTGAAGTCAAAAACATTACTTGCTTCACGTACAGCAGCAGTGGCAACACAGATTGTCCGCTGAGGAGAGATTTTGTTGGCTTTGAGCACTTGATTGAATCTTTTTAGGCAAGTTAGAGCTCTAAAAAGGGATTCTTCGGAGATTGACAAAGAAAAGTCACGACCAAGACAAACTGGGTCTTTGTGGCGATCAATGGTAAGGAATTTTCCTGTTCTGTCTGTTTGGACTATATGCATTTTGAAGGAGTTTGTTCCCATGTCTATTGAAGCAAAGAGATTGCTTGATGGGGTCATGTTTATGGTTTTTGTTGCAATTTTTGTGCTGTTTTAGAGATTTCTTGTTGGTCTTTGTTAAAGGCGAAGGATGTTTGTCAATTTGGAGCCGAGGGAAGAAGGATGGGAGGAAGGGAAAAAAGAAAGAAAAAAGAAAAGGTTTTTTAACTGTAACTGTTAACGAACTTCTAAGTAAAATACTGAAGAGAAGAAGTAATCTTTGTATCAAAGAAAAAGTCGGTAAATGGTGTTTGTGTTTGATGATGACCGGCAAAGTCCTTGGAGTCTGGTGTTTGCGTTTGATGATGACCGGCAAATTAGGGTGAAGAAGTCGGCAAATGGTGTTTGTGCTTGATGAATGATGATAACTTAATCACAGTCTATTTTTACTTCTAAAATAAATATACTTTAATTTTTGGAGCAAGAAATACTTAATTTTAAATTATTTTGAGAATTTATTTTAAATTATCTTTTGGTTTTATATTGAGGTGATATCTCCAGCTACATACAACAATCAATATTAAAAATAAAAAAAATTATATCAATTTTTTAATGTTTAAAATATATTTTGATGTTTGATGTAATTTTTTTCTTCAAATATTAGTGGTTAAGATATTCGCCAGAAAATATTTTCTCTTAATTTCCATGTGAATTTGAATAAAAAATAATAATTCAATAAGCAAAAGTCACTTATTATAAAAGCTGAATCTCAAAAGTTAGAACAATGACAACGAAAATTTTGAGTCTGTTTATTTTGTGAAAAATATTATTTTTAGGAAAATATTTTCTTTTATTTTTCAGTGGAAAACAAATACTAAAAAATAATTTAACTTACAACCCTTAAATACTACTTATTTGAAGGAAAAGGTTATAATTTCGAGAAAGAGAAAGAATATTTTCCTTTATTTTTTGGTACTATAAACTCAATATTCACCAACATTATGACATAACTATTTCAACAACTACTGCTAACACCATCCCAACTTTTACTATCAATATCACATCGTTTTCTCATCTTATTATCATTATTAAAAAAACCATAAATAAAAATATTTTATTTTATAGAAAAAATATTTCTTTTTATAAATGTATCCTTCTATATATATGGATGACTTGTTTAAAATCCAAATAGTGAATAATTTAGGATCGATGTATAAAAACTTATTTGAAAAAACTTTTACCCTAAAAAAAAATGATGAGAATTTATTTTAAGTCACCTTTTGGTTTTATATTTAGTTGATATCATTTATCCGACTAAATAGGCCATCAATGCTCCAAATAAGATTCATCAAAAAATTAATGGTTAATTTACAGGAAACTCTGGTCACTTGGTATTGATGGATTAGTTCATGGGCTAATATTCAATCTCAGGCCTGTTTATGGGTTTCTGTTGGGCCAAACATTATCTACCCCTCTATGGGCTTAATGCCCTTGCTGTTCTTGAACCCTGCAAGGGTTAAACACATAAACCTTTAAAAAATGTCTTCATTTTCGTGAATCCTAACCTTAATTGATTCGAATTTTAAATCCTAAACAACCACTGTTCAATTTTTTTTTTTTTTTTGCTTATAATTAATTAATTGCACACACCAACCAAGAACCATTGTTGTTCCTTTGGTAGAACTTAGAACAGTCAAAACCAAAGCAGCCAGGAACCATTAGAAATCGGCCCACGATTCCATCTGCTGAGATCACATCTCTACATTTCCATTTTTTTTGCTTGGAAAAAGCAACACCTGTAGAAGTTCCATAACACAGAAGGAAGGGAAAAAGGAATCGTATTCGAAGAGAAACGCAAGTTCCAAGAATCTTCCCAGACGATGGGATTTTCCTGGAAAATACATTGATTTGAAAATTATAACAGCCGGAACTTGCACCGAAACTTTTCTTCACTCCATCTCCGACCACTTGACTAATAAACCATGACCATCGAGTATATTGACCAAGTGAGTGGCCACCATGGCTACCAAAACATACCAAGCAAATAAAAAGGGGATCTCCTCTTTCCCTTTCTTCTTACAAAGCAAATCAAACACACCAGTTTTGTCTTTTTAAACAGGTGGACTGACACTGATAATGACTTTAACAGTGACGTGTCTTGTTGGGTGGAGTCTATGCCCCGCCATTCAAACATGTTTTGTAGGTTCAAGTTTCATGTGTTGGAATTTGGTAAATTAAAAAAAAAAAAATTGTATGTGAAGCCGCGTGATTATTGTGGAAAATTAAGAGCAAAAGCAGCATATGGGTTTTATGATGTTTCGATTTTCTGTTTATTCTATTAATTACACAAGAATATTGACTTGAATGGATCAATTACTCCTATGGATAAATTGAGCGGACCAAATTTTGTGTGGATAGGCACATTTCATGGATATAAATTCAACAATTTTGGTTATAAAACTTTTTCCAACAGCTTAATCGGTAGCTTTTTTTCAATAAAGTAAGATTCTTACAAATGTGTTTTTCATTCGAGGACATCGGACAAAATTAGATCGATACGAAGAAAATTACTTAACCCATATGCTACGATGACATGCATATATCGATAAAATATAAAAAAATGTTAATAAAATAATATTCGAATTTTAATTATTTTAGTTTTTTTTATTATAATATTTGGGAGAATGAGTTAATTTCAATTATGTAATTAAAAAAATCAAATAAAAATTCAAAAAGCTCGTTAGAATTGAGTTGAGAGAGATTATTTCTCACAAGTTTCATAATTTTAGCAAAAATTACTTTAATGTAAATAAATTTGTTTCGGTATTGGTGTGTAGTCTCGTTAATTTCATCTTATTTGTCAGAAAAAAAAATTATTTTAAATTTCCTTAACAATCTCATACTTACCAATTAGATTAATTCTCGCAATTTATTTGGAAAAAAAATGTTTGTCGTAATCAGAATCATAAGTCAGACACGTGAAAATCAATATTTATCACAAATTTGAATATAATCACAAAACTATATTCTCATTCATTCATTATCAGATCTGTCAAAATTTCGTTAAGGAGAACATCATTTTCCAATTGAATTGATCATAAATTCTTTTTGTTATATTGACAATGACAATAATAATGACATGCCTTTGCTAGAGAAACCAAACGAGGCCTTGTCCAACAACATTGATTATTTCAAGGTCCCAAATTTTGTTTTTTGTTTTTTGCCCATAAAATCATCGCACTGAACAAAGTGTAGGTGAAGCAAAGAGAACACGCGTGAAGAAATTGTAGAAATTAAGAGAAAGACAATTCCAAAATACCGGTTTATATTGATGATAACAACATTATTTTTTGACCTTGAAATGTATTAAATTTAATGGGCCAACATGCATGCATATAAACTCATATTTTCTTGAGCATTTATGGTGATTTCTAGGTTAGCTAACTAATTATCAATCGAAACTATCATTTCAAGTTATATAAACCAATATGAGATCATCGATACGTTTCAAATTTAATGATAATGAACTTTCGTTTGTAAAGAAGCTACAGGTTTAAATATTTATCGTGATAATATGATTTCTTTTTTTGTTAATTACTAGTATTGATTATTTGATTATCTAGCCATTGAGCAAGGACTACATGATTTTATCTATGGTATAAAAAAAAAACTAATTTTATTCTTGTCTATAATGAACATGTGTTTTGTATATTGTTTTATCATATAACAATTAATCTTTATTTTTGCTCTAAATATCCAACTGATTAATATAAATTTTCATATTGTCTATGCCACAAAAAATATTGATTTTGAACTTTGATTACAAAAACATAAAAAATTTGTTTGAAAATCATCACTACCACGTATGCATGGTAGACATTGTCGTGGCTGCAAAACGATAACAGGTTTTATGATATCCATCAATGTATTTTAGAAACGAGTTCTTGATATTTTCAAGTTAGTATCATGTCGAATTTTTAAATAATTTTTGTTTCCATTTTCAAAAGTCTGGAAAATAAAAATAAAAAATTATTTTTTAAATTATTTATTTAGAAAATTTTGAACCAATCGGAAAAGAAAAGGTAGGTAAAGACTTAAGAGTGGAAGAGACGGGTTCCAATCCTGTGCTTTTAATTTTATGTTGACTATGATTAATTTTATATTATTTTATTTAAAAATATATTTTTTTATTATCAATATTTTCATAGTTTTTACTTTTTGTGCTATTAGATTTGAGAAAAATATAGATTACTCCCTTTTTTCTAAAATAAATCAAATAGTCCATTTTGTTTTAAAAATAAATCAATTAGTCCTTTGACAAGTATTAACAATGATTAATTTAATATTATTTTATTAAAAAAAAATTTTCTCACTAACACTTCCATATTTTTTCTTTTACTTATTTTTCCTTTATCTATTTCTAAAATCAAAAAATAAAAAAAATGATTAAGTCACAAATAAATTTAAAAAATAAAAAGTAATTAATTATTTTTTAAATTTAGAAGAACTGTTTAATTCCCTTTGAAAAATAGAAGGACCTAAATTATAATTTACTCTTTGTTCTTACTACTTTTGAAAAATAAAAAAACACTGTCAATGTTAGTAAGAACTAAAAATAATATAAAGTAGAACAAATGTATGAATCATGATGTACTTATATGGGTACCTGTACACCTAATTTTGATGACAAACGTGTAACACAGATTTATCTTGAATAAAAATTGAATTGAATTCAAGATTCAAATTCTTTTGGACCGATTCAATAGAAATTCAGATTTAGATTCAAAATTTTCTCATTCTTTATACCTATGCTTGTGTTTTTGCATTGCATGGTCTACTTCCATGCCGTCACTTAGCCATTCTAAACCGCGTCGCATAGAAATTTTGTCTGTAACTTCCAGCAGCCTTCGATTCGGACATCAGTGACGCGTCAAGCGACCGTGTTTTTTGTACTTTTAATTCTATATTTCCAAATATAATACAAACAGGAATCGAATCTGAAACTCTTCCTAGTTTTGAGTCTACTTCAGGTGCTGCTCGATTCTGTTGTCTCCGCTATGTTATCATTTCGTTCGAGAAAAATCCTTAATTTGTTTTTATTTTGATTTGGATTTCGAACTTTTGATTGGTAATTAAGTTTTTTTTGTTTAATTGATTATGAAATTAAATATTAACGAGTTATGAAATAACAATAAATAAACATCTTTTTCAAGACATTTATCGTTATTTTAATAGCTCACGTTTGTCCAAAATCTATAAAATTAGTCAATAAGATAAAAAAAAAACTTAATTATGAATAAAAAAATTTGAAACTTGAATTAAAATATAAAAAACTTAAGAGATTTTTTATTTTGACTAAATATTAGCCTTTCGAATTTGAATACAGAAGAGATCATGAGAAATATATTTTTCATAGATAGAAATGTCTGACTGAATATAAATGATTCATGTAAAACTCAATCTGAGAGGAATTTATGTTGTGTGCATCGGGGTAAGTTGAGACTACCCTTCTCTTCGAAACCAAAGGATAAAAACGATAAACTATACTCTAAACCATGTCGATTTTACAATATTCTATTTAGGCCCTTATAGTTTCAAAAATCTTCTCTCGTGACCTTTTTTCTTCGAAATAGATATGAGAAATTAACAAGATGGTCACTTTTTGAAAATTTTATTGAGTATTTTTATGAACTCTTAAGGATCTATTAGAAAACTAAAACATTACGTGTATATCAAACTGTGAAAGGGAAAAGGAGAAGAGGAGAAGACATATGAGCGAAAAAGTTGGAAGAAGTGAGCATGTCATCGTCCGTTGCCAGCTATTTAAAGGGATGAAATTAAAATATTTCTAAACATTACAAGGACCAACAAACAAAAAATTAATATAGTTTAACAAATCCTAAGGGGAGACCTTATGGCTCTTTCTTTTAATTTTTTAAAGAGTAAATACATCTATATGTTCTTATATAATATTTAAAAATTTTCATTTGTCATGAAAGTGTTTGAAATATTCAATTCGTATTTTCGATTAATTTTTTCAATCATATAATTTTTTTTATTAAAATGCTTCGATTGTAATACATAAAAAATAAAATAAAATAAAGTTCTAAAAACTTTAAAATTGAAAAGTACAAATCATGTGACTTTAAGTGTTTTTTTTTTCACTTTCTAATAAATGATATTTCGATTAAAAAAATTCATAGTTGAAAAAATTGATCTAAAAAACAGATTGAACGATGAAATGCAATTAAAAATTTAAATACAAATTTGAATATAGACATGAGGCCTTGAGTATTATATTAAAACATATAAATATATTTATTTTTTTAAATTCAAATCTTAGTTAGTATCTAAATTGATTGGATTTAATATCGCGTAACATGAAAGCATATTCTTCATTTAAAAAAAAAACCCATATGCTATCAATTTATTACTATTTTTAATGATTATGTTTTCTTTTTTTGTATAATAATATAAAGGGACCAGCGTAATGTGCTTTTCAATCATTAATCACGCGGTTAGTTCATTAACTTATATAAAATTTCAACGTATGGATGATAGGATCTAAAGTTAGGTATTATTCGCGCCAAAGTTCTTGGTCTTTTTTTATTCATTTCTATTTCCGTTGATAGATAACTCCTATGTTTTTGAGTTTATTCTGACACTTTGGAGTGTCCAAAACCAGAACTTGTTGTTTTTGTTGAACTTTATCAAAAAAAATTGATCCTTGACTTTTTGAGTTATAGCGTGTCCTTCATACATGTTCTTTTTCTGGCTTCAAGTGAAACTTCCTACGTAGCTTCTCCTTCTTTGATTAAATTAATCATTTTAGTTTCAAGTCAATCTCAACATCCTATTTAAAGCACATAGGTTAAGTGGTTGCTCTCTCGAATTATCATAATCTTTAGCTTCAAGTGTCTTAGTTTGTACATTTCTTGAAAAGGGCCTTCTTGTTTGTTGTTTAGAAAGAACTCTATTGATGGTGCTAAAGAGGGCTTTTCAGTTTGACGATGGGATTGGGATGGGAGTTCCTGCAGCTCAAGAATCAAAGAGATTTAGGAAGTGGGTTGATTTCATTTTGTTGAATTTCAAGTGTTTTTTTAATTTGCTGCTAATCTAATAGTTTTTTATTTGGGTTTGGTGGTTTGTTCTTGCAGTGCTGTTAGGGATGTGATGGGAAGGCTTTCTGTGAATGATTTTGTGTCTCAAATGGAACCATTTCTTCGATCTGTGGTAGGATTTTTCTCTTTTATTTTTAGTTTTTGTTAAAGAATGGATACAGCTTACCTTGCATTGTTTTATTTTCATTTGTTATCATAGTATTCTTCTTAGGCATGTCCATTTCTGTTAGTTTTATGTCCAAATGGCAACTTGTGATAATTTAGAACAGCAACTAGTCAATTTTCAAGTTCAATCTGTGATTAGGGTTTGTAACAGGTTCTGCTATTTTGAACTGTTTTTATCATTGCCTAGCCTTTCTTCTTCTTCTTGTGTGTTTTTTGCTGGCTATTTTGATTTCCATGACTGATACGTGATTTCATAAGAAGGATAGGCCTGTCCTCTTGAGTATGGCAAAGTTTTATCTGATTGAAAGTATTGAGAAGTACTAATTGCTTGGCAGTCTCTAAAATTTTGCTCTACTTCTTGGTTGTTTAGGTGCGAGATGAGGTGGAACGAACAGTTCAAAGAATTCTTCAATCATCCTCGAGGTAAATTCTTGCCTCCGTTGCTTGTTATCTTTGAAAAAATTGTTAAAAAGGATTCAGGTCCTGTAACCATTTGAGCATGACAAGGTTGAGAACAAAGTAAGCTTGATCCAGTTGAACAATTTTTGTTACCGGATCAGTAGTCTTAAATTTCATTACTTTGTTATAAGTTTTCTGTCTTTGTAGTACTAATCCAGCTTGTATTGATCTTGCTAAACCTATTCATTGATTCTATAAGCTTTGCTACCCTCGTGGTTCTAATCAGATAAAATTCATTTTCTGCTCACTTTCTTGCAGACCCTCGTTTAATCAGATGACGGCATCTGGAAAAAGAGGCTTGATTTTGCACTTTGTTAACAAATTGCCTTCCACCATCTTCACTGGTGGCAGGATAGAAGCAGAGGATGGCAACCCAATCAGAGTTGTGTTGATGGATGCTAATACGAAGTCCATCGTAACGTCTGGTCCTCTAGCTTCAATGAAAATTGAGATAGTTCCCCTTGATGCTGATTTTGGTTCTGATGATCAAGAAGATTGGAGTGGGGGTGAATTTGCAGCCAACGTGATCCGTGAAAGAGAAGGTCGAAGGCCGTTGGTGACTGGAGATCACACTATTACACTGCGAAATGGTGTTGGTCAACTAGGTGATATAGTTTTCACAGATAATAGTAGTTGGCAGAGGAGTAGAAAGTTCAGGTTGGGTGCTAGACCCGTGCAAAAGGTTTCTGATGAAATGAGGATTAGGGAAGGAAGAAGTGAAGCTTTCGTGGTTAAGGATCACCGTGGAGAGTGTAAGTCCAAAACTCAATTTCAACTCTACATATTATCTGTTTTGAGCGAAATCTATATTAAAAAATGAGACTGACAATTAATTTGTTCATTCAGTGTATAAGAAACATCACCCTCCACACTTGTGTGATGAAATATGGCGATTGGAAAGGATAGCAAAAGATGGTGCTTTCCATAAACGGTTGGCACTTCATGGAGTTAACTCTGTGCAAGACTTCCTGCAATTTTATATGATCAATCCATCTACGCTGCGCAATGTAAGAGAATCTCCATTTTTTTTTTCATGCCCACATGTCTTTTATTACGTTATTCTCAGTTTCAAGACTACTTGACTTAATGAATCCATCACAACCATGGGATTGCAGGTTCTTGGATGCGGTATCACAAACAAGATATGGGATACAATTATAGAGCACGCTGTGACTTGTGTTGTAGATCATAGCAAGTTCTATAGTTACTTAGATGCTGGACAGAGCATCAGCCTGCTCTTTGATTCCGTCTACAAAGTCGTAGGAGCAATGTTTGATGGCCCAAAATATGAGCCTCTGCATAATCTTTCCCCTCCTCAAAAAGTAAGCAGTGTCCAATATTTCTGGGGTCTGAAGTCTTTCGATGATCATCAATTCTGCACAAATATTTTCCATGTGATTGATCAACTTCTCTGTTTAATCTGTGGCAGGCCTTGGTGGAAAACGTTAAGCGGCAAGCTTATAAGAATGTTAACAACTTCATCCAGGTGGATGCTAGTGCTTTTTTTGGCCCCTCAAGGTCCTTGACAACCCTTCAAGCTGAGCCATTTAATGGTCCAAATTTAGCTCTGCAACAACTCGAGTTCCCAGTGGCATGCCAAGGTATGTGAACTTGAAATTGCCAAAATTCTCTGTAATTAGCATTTCCAAGTTCAAACCTCTCATTTTTCTGAGATGTTTTGTGTAGATCAATCAGCAATGCAGATGGATTTCCACAATTCATCTAGCTCAGCATCATATGGATATGATGCAGAAAGTAGCAGTCCTTTAGAAGTTTCTGTGCCTCAGACTAGTCACCAAATGGAAGCATTCCCTCAAATGTTTCGGAACAGCTTCAAATTTACAGACTTTTTCCCCCTCCCCTACAATGGCGAAAACGGCTGGTCTGCAAATGGTTGGCCAGTTGGGACAAGCACTGAGGACGTGTCTAATGTCCAAACATCAACCTGGTCTCCTAGTAATTCAGCATGGGGGCCAGGCAATGCTTTGATCTTCACTTCAGGCAATGAAAGGGAAGTAGGCATTTTTCTTCTCATCCAAGTTTCGGTGTACATATGTCCCGAATTCGAGCACCAAAAGCACGGTGGTGCAAGCTTCGCGCTGCCCTCAAAATGGGGTCAGTTATGCGAGATGTCGCAGCTAAGAGAATGTGCCAACTGCCAAGGCCTGTGTATGTAAATTACTAGGCTTGTAGTAAGCATCTCAGCATTTAGGAGGTAAGCCCTCCCAGATGCATGAGAGTTAGTTGATAGATTTCCTGTTCTCTTGCAATCTTTTCTTCCTCTTCGTGTAACAAACGCAACAAAGGGTCCTCACTCCTTCAGTCTTTTAGCTTAGCGCTATAGCTTCCAACTTGCCCTTCTTGTAAAAAATCATTACAAAGGGTCTTCTTCTGTGTGTTAGCTTTAGTTTTTGTCAGCTTATGATCGATGATTCCTATAGTCTTTCTTCACCTTCTTGTAACAAATTACCACAAATGGGTTCTTGTACAAAATGTTCAGAATGATCAAATATAATAAATCTTTTTCTCAAAATTTTGATGCCAATCTATTCTACTTTTTGCATTAATGTTTGTCTCCAACCTTTCTTGTTAAAACTTAAAATTTTTACATTTTGGGTTCGAACTTTGAAAAAAAAAAATAAGAATAAAAATTAAAAATCAGAAAAAGATGTCAAATTTCGATGAACATTTTGTATAACTTAAAGCTTACTTTGCCTTTCGATGAACAGCAACAACCAAAAAAAAAAATCTTTGTTGTATAAAATGTCAAATCTGAGAATTTACTATAGTTCTTATTGCATAAGATGTCAAATTTGAGAATTTTGGTTACATTTAAAAAGAGAAAAATTATAACAAAATGTTTCATCATTTTGGAAATTATAATCTAGTCATTCATACCAAAAAAAAAAAAAAGCAGCTTCCCCACAGCTTTCTAGCAGTTCAAGATGTTGGCTGCATCTTAGTTTGAAGTAATAAAAAACATCATTAAACACGACGAATTGCTATCATCATCATCATTAAGTTGTTAGAAAATTGGACCTAAACACCTCATGTCTAGTCATCTTAGCAAATCCCTCGGGTCAATTGATTTGATTATGATATCTGATCAACTTGATGGTTATTGATTAAGTGACTAATCCAGTATATATTCAAACAAATTAAGAATATGAAAGCAATCATGTTGGAAAGGTGCCTAATTCAACATTTATAGCTGTATTATTATTTGATTGGATAAATGTCATCCATTTTCAAATATCCATCATAGTCAAAATCATTATACTTAATTAGTTTTACCAATGAAGATCGGTTTTTTTTTTTTTGCTTAATCATTACCTTTTCTTTTGGTTTTGACGTATAATCTTCTTTCTAATTGGTTTTTAGATAGATAATTTATTATTCAAAGTAGTAAATTCACACAAATTTCGTTTTTTATATATAATTTCTTCTTCAAGACGTACTTGGAATAATAAGATGAAAAACTAACTTAATTGTTCATCCTCTAAGTCAATATCTCTAGCATAGATTAGCTTTTGATTAACGTCTAAGAAAGTATTTTTATTATAAGAACAATAAAATGAAACTTGAAATACCTACAAAATAGTAAATAATTAAGACTAATTGATTATCAAATGTCCTGAATTATTGGTTCAAATTAAAAAAAAAAAAAAGTCTCCAATCATAATTTTTTTTAGATCCTCAACTTTTTTTTTTTTTTTCATTTAGTTTACTCATCTCTATTTGGATTGGATGGTTTATTTAAGATTTGTTAAAAAAAAATTAAACAAATAAAATTATAGAAAGTTGGTCAATGAATAGCTTGATTGCTGAAAAATGTGTATTTCAATAAATCCTAATACCTGATAAACTCCAGTTTCTTCCCTACCATCTTTTACATGATTGACGTCGAGCCATTTTATGCTTTCCATCGTTTTTCTTCACGTTTAGTCAAATTAATCAGACAAGCATGAAAATTAGTCCATAATGATTTTTACTGCTGGAGTAAAATATAAGTTTGTAAATGACATGGTAAATTAATCCAAAATAGTTCAGGAGAGAGGATGAATTTTCACAAATTTGCACCAACCTTTCTACACATGATTCTATCACAAAAATTAAAATTAAATTGTGCTTCACCATCAGATGGTAAAATAATACATTATACGTCACTATATATATTTTTTAATAGCTAAAAGGTTCAAACATGTCACAGCTTATATAGATCATTTGCTTTTATCTCCTAAATGCCAAAAAAAAAAAAAAGCAATTAAAGAACATAATAGGGAAAAAAAAAAAACATTCATAAGTTTTAACATATTTTTAAATATTAAAAAAAAAATTTAAAAATCAACCACATGCAAATCATGTATAGTTCTATCTTTATAATTAATGAAAATTTAACTGACGAACCCAATTCTAAATGAAAAATAATTGAAAAATATTTAACTCGAAATTAAAATTAATAAACTGATTATTAAATAATTTAAAATGCAAATGAAGTTTTGGAACATCTTTTTTTTAATTTGTTAACATCAGATTCAAAGTTTAGCGAAAGAGACAGAGCAAGATCAAAACGTTCCGATTTTTTTTTTTTTTTTTTTGTCGTCATTCTAATAAGAAAAAGAGCAAGTGATAATTAAAAAAAGGTTAGGTGTAGAGACTAGAAACTGCTATTTAATTAGGGTGTGGTTAATCAATACATAAAGATGCCAAGTTAGTTTGTACTTCTAGGTCTTTTGTCAAAGAGAATTATTCTTATACGTTAACAAATATCTAAATCCAAGGCTGACATAATTTCATAATATCTACTAATAATCTATATTGTGTAACAAAGAAGAAAAGCTATTATTCAAGAAGATTGAACTAAAGAGACTTTAGTAGGTTAAATAAATATTTTATGATTCAAATTCTTATATAAATAGAAAATTTTCTAAATAATTATGTTTATTTTTTTACGTCCGATAGAACAAGTAAAGAATTAGTCTAAATTTTAAGACTTGAAATACCTTGAGAATCTAAAAAAAAAAAAAACAAACTGCTACTCCATTAAATATGGGTTTACTTAACTTTTTTTTTGGATACATGTTATTATAGTTTTTTTTTTTTTTTAATGATAAGGGTACTTTTAAACTAGTTTGCATATCAATTAAGGTTAAGTTTTTTTTTTTTTTTTTTTTTTTTTTTTGTCTAAAAAATCTTAAAGATGCACTCCTGTATTGATATAATAGATTCTGAAAAATTTAATAATTTTTTTTTTTTTGAATGATAACCTTAAAGTTTGAATAAAAAAAATTAAGAAGAAAACAAACATTTTTAACCACCAAGTAAATTACTTAAAATTATTATAATGATTAGTTGTCTTACGGTAATTGAGTAATCAAGCAGTACTAGATCTCTGTTTCAAGAGTACTCGACTTAATGGATCCATCACAACCATGGGATTACAGCTTCTTGTATGTGGTATGTCGATCAGGATATGGCATACAATTATAGAGCATGCTGTGACTTGTGTTGTAGATCAGAGCAAGTTATATAGCTACTTCGATGCTGGATAGAGCATCAGCTTGCTCTTCGATTCCATCAACAAAGTCATAGGAGCAATGTTTGATGGCCAAAAATCTGAGCCTCTACATAATCTTTCCCCTCCCCAGAGAGTAAGCAGTGTCCAATTTTTCTGGGATCTGAAGTATTTTCGATGATCATCAATTCTGCACAAATATTTTCCATTTGATTGATCAACTTCTCTGTTTAATCTGGCAGGCCTTGGTGGAAAACATTAAGCGGCAAGCTTATAAGAATGTTAACTTCATCCAGGTTGATGCTAGTGCTCTTTTTGGCCTCTCAAGGTCATTGACAGCCCCTCAAGCTGAGCCATTTAATGGTCCAAGTTTAGCTCTGCAGCAACTCGAATTCCCAGTGGCACGCCAAGGTATATGAACGCGAAATTGCCAAAATTCTCTGTAATTGGCATTTCCAAGTTCATACCCCTCATTTTTCTGAGATGTTTTGTTCAGATCAACCAGCAATCAATGTAGATGGATTTCAACAATTCATCTAGCTCAGCGTCATATGGATTCTTGTAACAAATTACCACGAATGGGTTCTTGTTTACAAAATGTTCAGAATGATCAAATATAGTGAATCTTTTTCTCAAAGTTTTGGTGCCAATCTATTCTACTGTGCATTAAAGTTTGCAAGTGAACCATGAATTGTTGATTCCTATTTGCTGTGTATGATTTACATCTGCCTGGCCTGTGTTCATATATTAGCGACTGCCACAGCTCCATGTTCTACCCATCCCCACTGCATCAACTCCATTAATAAGACATGAGATAGTTTCACGATTGTCTATCCAGTAACTTTTCGATTTATTTTGTTATTATATAATGGGGAAGGCTATCTTCTACTGTGTAATAAAAAATCCAAATAAATTAAAAAAAAAAAAAAAAAAAGCAAAAAGGATTAAATAATTAGTTTTTGAAATCAGGTGGACTAATTAATTTGTTTCTCATAACAAGAGGGACTAATTTATAATTTACTCATAAAAGGAAAACAAATATCCAAAACCAAAAGAAAACCATACAGTACAATGGCCATCCTATCGAAAGAAAAGGCATACAATTACCACTCTGAATGTTATTTAATAAAAAACCGCATAAAAGTTTTAATATTTTTCATTTACAATTTGAGCATTTTTTTTCGGTTGAATCTGACAAATTTAATAATTTTTTTAATCTGAATCTCTATCCAATATACTTTATTTGCAATCAATGCTCCAAAATGCATGCCCATCGAAACATTACAAAAAAAAATAATAATAATAATAATAATTTATTTTGTTAAATGCTTTGTGATCAATATTTTTGTTTGCAATTAATATTGAATGCATGCCTTTCTATTAACTAATCGATTTGTAACCGATATATGTCAATCACAAGTACAAATCTTCTCTAAAATTTCAAATTTCTATAATAATTTAGATTTAAAAAAATTGAGAATTTCGATTACGGAGATTAAAATTCGGTATGTATGAATCCGCATTTTGTTTTGTTTTTGGCTCTTGGTATTATTTCTAATAGAGATTTTTTCATATTTGAATTTTTTATTGAGATTTTTTATTTTTTTTAATTTGATTGAGATCTTTTAGTTTTTGAAATTTTTTATTTCAAACTCTTCGTTATCATGCTATCAATCAGTAATCGATAATTTTTAAAAATTTTATAACTTTATAACATCACATGTCGATTATTGATTGGTAGCATTATAATAAAAGGTCTGAAACAAAAAATCTCAAATGGTAAAAGATCTCAATAAAACTAAAAATGAGTAAAAGGTTTCAATAAAAAAAACGTGGTAAATATGAGAAAAATCCATTTCTAATATGCAAAATGTACATTTTCTCTCCGTTTTTCCATGGACTCTGTATAATTGTTTATTTAATAACGAATATTGTCCTGCAGAAAGGTGATTAAAGAATTTATATATTGTAAAACTTCAAACAACTTTGCTTTGCAAGATGCCAACTTATTCTTCTGATATTGAGAAGAATCGAGAAATTCCAAGGGATGGCCCACAGGTAGCTTGTGTTGTGATCACTGTGATGGCTGGGTTCTTGGCATTATTATTAGTTTTCTGCATTAAGGATGCAAAAACCAATCCAAGTGCTGCAAACATTGGAGTTGCTGTGTTCTTTGGTATTATGCTTCTTATAGCTATTCTGGCTATAATCGTGTTAATCTTTTGCATTCGAACGATAAAGGAGTAACCAAACACCTCTATATATACATATATGTATGTGATAAGATCGATCCAGATGGGCATTCTCTTGTCCCTCTAATAAGCCATGATAATTTCTTTATCCAATTTGGTAATTCTAGCCCTGATTAATATCATCAATGAATAAAATTTGTGTTTCTTGTTTCTTTTATTAGAAATTAAGCTTAACGATCTAATTTTTGTAGCAACATCAGCACGTTATCCATACTTGATTTGTTGCCATCACTGCTTTTGGTATGATACATCCCTTGCTTTCTTTTTGTTTTTCATGTCGTAATAATAGCGTTTTCTATTTTCATATAATGAAAGAAATAAAAATATGAGAAATCTACAATATATAGTGCAACCTCCTCTAATTAATGACACCTTTACTTTTATTTATTTTATTTTTATTTTTAATAATTAGTCATAATTGTTTTTTAGTACTATCAAATTTGGGCTGATTTTACCTATGAGGCAACAGTTTAGTAATCAATAAAAAATTAAGTATGTTTTAGCATTAGTTTAGTTTAAAAATGATTAACTCAGTTTTGATTAATATAAAAATTGATTCAAAAATACCTTTTTATACGTAAATAAATAAAACTTGAATTAAAAGATGGTTGGATTATTATCTTTTTTTTATCATCATTTAATCAATTTATATATCAAAACTTACTTTTAAATGGAAATCAAACTCATAAATTTGAGTTTTTGTTTTCTGATATGAAATTCTCAGTTCTTAATTAAAATATTAAAATTTGATAGGGAGAAACTCGCGTTGAACGAACATTTTATTTGGAGGTGGCTCGCCAATTAATCAAGTTGGGACAAATTGAAGAATACAAAAAAAAAAAAAATGGTTGAAGGGAAAAGCAGCTTGGGAGAATAAAAAACCTTCTCCTTTACAAACAGTAAGTCTCGTCTTCTTTTTGTATGAGATAAATAACATATTTAAGGTCCATTAACAAATTAATTGTGTTGAGAATTTCAATTCTGAAAAAGTCCACTTTTACTTTTCCTGTGAATAAACTTGATAAGATATTAATTATGTTGGGCCTAAGCTTATTATTATCAACTTGATATTGACATGAATGCTAACATTCTTACTGCTATTCACTTTTCTTCTCATGTAGCATGTGTTATGGTTATGCTACTCGTTGGCTTGTTTGGTTGTGGAGGTCCTCTCCTTCACCTTTGAGCTTTTGTCAAAGGAAATTTGCGGAAACAAGCCAGATCCGTATCGAAAGTTAAGCATGTTGTCCATGATATTATCAGGTGTCGGTGTTTTCTTAAGCTGCTGTGAGCTCATTTGTTGTTTTTTCTCATGGAAGTTATCTTTCCATCCTTGTCCATACCACATCCCTTGGCTATATTATTCCAATGGCAGACTGTTTCTATCAGTTTGAGCAGTGGCTGGGATTCTATGGTTCTGTCTTGCAGTTTGGCTTCACTCTCTATGATTACTATTATGGTGGCACCGCCGCCGTAGTCTTCCTTTACGCACTGCATTGTGCCACTTGTGTTTTATGCAAAAACATGTGCGAGGTGCTTAAAGCCTACAAGGAAAAGAACGCTAAGGAGAACGAGGACGAGGCCAGGCCAGGGCAGCCCGAAGATGCTTCCGTTTAATGGTAAGGCCAAAACGAAGTGACGGTTTGGTTGGTTACCCTGAAACTATTTTAAGTAGGAATGTTCATTGACTGATACATATGCTTAATTACCTTATGATTTAAACCTGTTCTCTGTATAAATTCTTTGTTTTTCTAATTACCAAAACCGCTTTAGAAGTACGAGAAATGAACACATGTTCTTATTTTTCCTTTTCTGTTTGCCACCTGCGTTTCATTGAAGAACATTGATGTTGCATCATACATTGGCCAGAGTGGAGTGGGGATGAAGGCAAATATATAGTGGAAAAATAAAAAACAATTTTTTTCATGCATCAAGGATGAAGTATAAGAAAAGAACAATTTTTTTCTTTTTTTCTTTCCTGATAAGTCATAGATGAAAACAGCCATACAAGTAATAGATGTTCGTATATCACCAACAAACTGCAAAATAGAATGACAAAACCAGGAATAGCTATACAAAGATAATCAGGGGCACTAGGAGCAGAGGCACAAAGCATCGAAAGAGCCCACCACTTACTTTTCCTACTTCTTGATGGAACAATAGGTGGCGTTTTTGTTTTTCTTTTTTAGATCCAAACCGAAGACTAAGACAACGTCGAAGGTCTTATAAAAAATCTGCAAAGTCTTGATTCATTCCACGGCTCAAGATATGTGCAAGAGAATCAGGCTCTCACACTAGTAACGCACTTAGCCCGTTATACCATCGGCAGCCCAGAATGTAGGTTGGATATTGAATCTGAGACGCCCACAGAATATTTGCTTATTGCATCTTATTTGTTCTTCCTTTTGTTCTGATTTGCAAGTTGGACCTTTCATCACCTAGCTTTGGCCCAATAATTCCTTACTCTAATGTTCTTAGTATATGCTTAATAAATAGTCCTTTCTTATTCCTCTTGATCATTCTATATATTCTTAGTCTAATTTTGTTGCCAATCTATTCTACTTTTTTGTATTAATGTTTGTCTCTAATCTTTGTTGTCGGGTTCAAACTTTGAAAAGAATGACAAAAATTAAAAATTAGATAAATAATTTTTATTTGTGTGACTGGTAGCTTATCATGCCTCTCGATGAACGAAAAAGAAAATTTATGGTTGCAATAATGTCAAATTTGAGAATTTTGTTTGAATTTAAAAAGAGAAAAAATATAACAAAATGCTTCATCATTTTGGAAATGAAAAATCTACAATTCATCAAGAAAAAAAAACAAAAATGCTTCCCCACAGCTTTCAAGCAGTTCAAGATGTTGTTTGTATCTTGGTTTGAAGCAATAAAAAATATCATTAAACATCACCAATTGCTATTGTTATAAAGAATTAGTTTGGATCGGGTCATTCATGATGAGTTGATCCGACAACGAAATTATTAAAAAAAAAAACTACTAAAGAGTTGTTATGGTGGTTATTTTGCCAACTTTCATATATATAAGGAAAAAAGATAAAGACAATTGATTGAGTAACTAAATTAAAATAAATAAAGAAACTCTGTAAAATAGAAAAAACAAAAAATAAGATTGTCTTAGCACTTAAATTGTGAAATTCAGGTAGTGATTTAATATTAATATCTTGATATTATGAAACTATTTATAGATAAATGTTATTTCGATCATAAACGTATTTATTATGTTTGTGATTTTATTGCAACTATCATCATCTTTAAGTTGTTAGAAAATTAGATTTGAAAACACCATGTCTAGTCATTTTAGTGATCCTTTAGATCAATTAATTGATTTTGATATATTGCCAACTTAATGGTTGTTGATTAAGCGACTAATCCAGTATGATACAAACAAATTAAGAATTTGATAGCATGTTGTGAAAGCAATCATGTTGGAAAAGTTGCCTATTTCAACATTTATCGCTGTATTATTATTTGATTGGATACATTTCATCCATTTTTCAAATGTCCATTATAGTCGATATGTAAATACTTAGTTTTACTTAATGAAGATCATCCTCTTTTACTTAATCATTGTTTTTTCTTTAGGTTTTAAGGTTTCAAGGATTCCCAAACTACTTAGCTTTTGGGTAATGATAGTAAACTTCTTTTTGATTGGTTTTTAGATAGATCGTTTATTATTCAAATTAGTATATTCACGTAATTTTTTTTTTCCAAATTGAACCTGAGAAAATAAAGTGAAAAACTAACCTATTCATAACCCGAGTTGATATGTCTGAGGTAAATTAGCTTTCTATTAACGTCTAAGAAAGTTTTTTCATTGCGCGAAGAATAAAATGAAACTTGAGATACTTACAAAATGGTAAATAATTAATAATGCTTGTGATGTTTTGATTAAAATGGTCAAATCGTTTATGAACTTTAGTTCATATGAAAATCACTTTTTAAAATTTTAATTTTGAATTTTATCTTCTCTGAATTTTATTTTATTTTTCTAGATTTACTCAATCTTATTCATTTCAGCTATCATTCTTTTTTTAAAAAAATTCAATTTTTGATATTTTGATCTTACATTTGCACATGCATTGAGAAAAATCAAATCTAATTTTGGAAAAAAAAAATCTAAATTTTTTCAAGGCTGAAAGGTATATATTTTTATTTTTAACATTAAAATTGTGAAAATCTAGAAAAAAGTAAAAAAAAAAAAAAAAATCTGAATTGATCATAAGTTTTTTAAGGAGCTCTAGATATATCTTATTTAATATTTTTTATTATAAAACTATTGATGTAATTGTTATTTTTCATAAAAAATATATATTAAATCTCGATAAATATAAAGTTCACATAAATTCAAACCTAAAAAGTTCAAAAAATAATTTTCAAATAAATTAAAACAGACAACAATTTGAAAAAGATTTGACTCATTTAGCCTGATGTTGTCACAAGTGGGCACTTTCGAAATCTCAAAATTTACTCCAAATATTGAAGTAGAGATTTATAAAGGGAATTGATTTTATATGCACTATGTATCGAATAAATGAATATGTATTGCATTTGTTGTTGTATTTCAACAAATAAGAAGACGTTATGATAAAAAAAAAAAGGAAAAAAAAATTCGGATTGGCATGTCTATGTGGATGTGGATTGTTTATCTAAAACTCAAGGAGAAAAAAATTATAGAAAGTTGGTAGCTTGATTGCTGAACAGAACGTGTATTTCAATTAAGTCTTTTACATATATGATTGTTGTTGAGCCATTTTATGCTTCTCCATTTTTTTTTCTTCATGTTTAGTCAAATTAATCAGACAAGCATGAAGATTAGTCCATAATCATTTTTATTGGTGGAGTAAAATATAAGTTTGCAGACATGATAAATTAATCAATGACAAAATTTTCAGTGAATCCAAAATGCTTCAGGAGACAGGATGAATTTTCACAGATTTGCACAGATCTTTCTACACGTGATTCTATCACAAAAATTAAAATTAAATTGTGTTTCATTATCAGATGGTAAAACAATACATCATATGTCACTATCATTTTTTAATGACTAAAAAGGTTCAGATTTCTCCTTAATTTTAAATTATTTAAAAATTGATAAATTAGTTTTTAATTTCGGATTGAAACTCATTTTAACTATTGTTTAAAATTAGATTTTTTTGTTGAGTTTTTATTTACGTGTAAATGCAATTCTTCAATAATAAAAAACACATCAAAACTTATAGATCATTTGCTTTTATATCTTAAATGCTAAAAAAAATTAAGCAATTAAAGAACACAATAGGAAAGAAACCAGTTTTGAAAAAAAAATATCTATAAATTTTAATATATTTTTAATGTTCAAAAAGTTTTTTTAAAAAATCAATCATGTACAAATTATGTGTATTTCTACCTAATTAATAAAAATATAGCTGAAGAACCCAATTCTAAATGAAAAATAATCGAAAAAGATTTAGCCCAAAATTAAAATTTAATAAATTAATTCTTAAATAATAGAATGCGGACGATGTTTGGAACATCTTTTTTTTTTTTTTTTTTAATTTGCTAACATCAGATTCAAAGTTTAACGAAAGAGACAGAGCACGATCAAAACGTTCTGATTTTTTTTTGTCGTTCTGATAATAATAATAAAAAAGGTTAGGTGTAGAGACTAGAAACTGCTATTTAATTGGAGGGTGTGGCTAATAAATACACAAAGATGCCAGGCTAGTTTCAACTTTCTAGGTCTTTTGTCAAAGATTTATTCCTTTACTCTAACAAATATCTAAATCCAAGATTGACATAGTTTCATAATATCTACTAATAATCTATCTTGTGTAACAAAGAAGAAAAGCTATTACTCCAATAAATGGGTTTATTTAACAAAATTTTGTAGGATACATGTTATAATATTTTTTTTATGATAAAGATATTTTTAAACTAATTTACATATCAATTAACATTAATTTTTTTTAATGATCATAAAAATGTACTCTTATATCGATACAATAAATTAAGAAAAAATTAATAATTCTTTAATGTTAACCCTAAAGTTTGAATCCAAAAAATTAATAAAGGTACCGAGTCAATCTCTTAGAATTATTATATTGGTTAGTTGTCTCACGGTAATTGGGTGAAAATCAAATAATTGGTAATTAATTTATGGGTTTATAGTAAAATAGGGAAAACTTTTAGTTTTATTTTGTTTCAAGGTCCGTCCTACGAATTTTAAACCATGCAGAATTGAGATAATAAAAAAAAAATTATCCAATTTCTCTTTAGATTTTGAACCTAAAAGCTCCTAGTAACAATCCCAAATCTGATTAACAACCGAGACATATGCCTTTGAGAACAAATGAATAATTATTGGTAAAGGAAAAGCATATAATCAAACTGCGATTGTTCAAAAAATTAATGTAAATTATAAGTTGCAACTATTCATGTAATATACGAACTTACCTAGATATTTGATTCAACTAAAATATCTGTATTAATTTTTCTAATGTTTGGGTGCTTTAATCATTGTAAATCCATATTTTTACACTGAATTTCTTCAAATTAAAGATATTTTTCATCCCGCATTGAATAATCATGTGTGAAAGGAGAATGGTAAGATTTAATTTTTTTTCAATAAATGCGACTCAAAAATTTGAATTGTAAATATTAATAGAAAATTTACTTAAAACCAGATAGCTTACAATTGGATTACCAAATTGATGGAACTAGCAACTACTTTTAAATACAAACAAATTCCATGGACCTCACATTACATGCAACATCTCAAGTTGTGATTTTAAGTATTATGTCTTCATTGTACACTAACAATGCTAAATGATAAAATAACAATTGCAAAATTGAAAATGGAAACATAAAATTGTAATGTTTTATTGAGTGAATAAACGTTTCCACACTATTCTTAAAGCAGTTATTACCCTATTATCATGTTGCAATAATTTTTACAGTTCACTTTTAAGATTTAATTTTTGCTTCTAAAGAATTGCAGGCAATGTTTATGAATTTTTTTTAAAATTTCTTTTGAAGCTGTATAATTTTTTTTTTTAAAAAAAGAAGAATTGCATAAAAAAAAAATCCTCTCTACTTTATATATCCTCATAGTTTCTTTCCAAATCCTTTCAAATATTTAAAATCCTACAATATGTCTATTTTATAAAAGTGTTTTTCTTTTTCATTTTTTTTTAATATGGGATTAATATCTTTCTTAAAAGCAAGCATTTTCAAACTCTTTTTTACCAAACTTAACTTGTTATTTATCAAAATCAAGATTTTCAACAATTGAGATGAAATTCCTTAAGTTTGTTTTTGTTGTTATGTTTTTCTTGGAATCATAATTCGCATATATTATATACAATACAGTAAATAAACCTTGTTGTGCTACTATTTTTACATGTTAGATATCAAGTCATGATATATCTTGGTTCTAGCTAAACTCTCAGACACGTTTTTTTTTTAAAAAAAAAAAAAAGTTTCAGTGATAAGAGTACTTTGGGCCAACTTTCATGCATGATTAGTTTTCAATCATTTAGAAAAACATGTTTCTTTAAGCTTCAGTGATAAGAAAAGCATTATCTTATTGTTTTGAATTGAATTATGAAAAGTCACTGTTTTTAACAAGTAATATCTAGATCGGTCTCATCATTTAGAATTTATTCAAAGGAGAGTGAGAGAAAAAGATTGCTTGATTTGGTGATTAATTTGGTATGGTTCCTGATATTTTTGGGTTTTGGCAGTGCTTACAAGAGAACGTCCACGCACATCTCGAAAGATTATTTTTTAGGAATTTTGTAATAAATATATGTGAACTTTATATTTATTAATCACTGAATCAATTTACAAAAAAATCAGTAAAAATATTAAATACATGCACGTGTGAGAATAAGTTATTTATGAAGAGTCATTTTTTTAATATTCGTTGTCTATATAAAAATATAAAATTGTTTCAATATTTGAAATTTTAATTGCAATTTCGACGTGGATAATTTTACTTGTTACTCGAACACAAAGATTTCTCCTAGTATTGGAAGCTAAATAAAAAAGTCATGGCATTAAAAAAAGTATTTGATTCAAATAGTGAGGGAAAAAAAACTATTCAATATAAAGCATTAAATTTGAATTTCGCCATTAGTTTTTAAAGAAATAACATATTTATATTCAATGAATTTCCCTCGCAAAAATACCCACACTTCCGCTTCAACATAATTGTAGTAATATATATATATATATATATATATATATTGTGTGTGTGTGTAAATTTATTTTATCATAATGGTAAAGCTTACAAAAATAATAAATGAACCTTTGTACACGAAAGCTTCAACCTTCCAAAAACAGAGTTGGAATCTTTCGACACGTAACGCGCCGCGATCTGAAAAAGAAAAGCGGGAAACGTGTCAAAACCACGCAAATCCTGTTGTCCTTCTCAACTCAAACGCCAGAACCACAAACTTCATGAAAATATCTAGCCTTCCCTTACAGTACGGTAAATGGCATTATTCGGTCCTCCTATTTTAATTATATTTCATTTTGTTCCTCTCACTATATTTTCCTCGTTTCACCCCCTTCTCCACGTTATCAAAATGTGTGTGAATTTTTTAAGCTTAAAAAGCCGCAGTACGTTTTAGAACGTTTAGTGAAACAAATTTGAGTATGTGATTAGATAATTATCCCCATTCAAATTATCAAAACTAGAAAACCTACTAAATTAGAACTCTAAGATATACATGTTTGATAATTAGATGATTGAAAGAAAAAATTCATCTGGTGTGTATAAAAAGGTTTAAACTTTTCTTAAATTTTAAATCATTTACAATTTGCCCTCTCATTAATTTGAGATTGGACCTCGTTTCAATTGTTTTTCATTCAAAATTATTTTCAATTATTTAAAAAAAAATTAAATTTTTTTTTGTTGAATTTTTTTTATCTATATACGAGTGCAATTCTTCAACAAGAAAAAAACATGTCAAAAACTTATAGATCATTTGTTTTTATCTCTTAAATGCTAAAAAATTAAGCAATTAAAGAACATGATGTAAAAAAAAAAAATTTGAAGAGAAAAACAAAATATTTATAGATTTTGATATATGTTTAACCACGTGTAAATCATGTGTATTTATACCTTTATAATTAATGGAAATCTTATTGAAAAACTTAGTTCTAAATGAAAAATAATTGAAAAAGATCTAAATAGAAATTAAAAATTAGTAGAGTGATTCTTACATAATTCAAAATGCATGAAGTTCGGAACACCTATTTTTTTATTTTTTTTATTCGTTAACATCATATTCAAAGTTTAACGAAAAAGACACGGCAAGATCAAAACGTTCTGATTTTTTTGTCATTCTAATAAGAAAAAGAGCGAGAGATGATTAAAAAAAAAAAGGGGGTCGGCTCTAAAGACACAAAGATGCCAAGTTAGTTTCAACTTTCTAGGTCTTTTGTCTAAGATTTATTTCTTTACGTTACCAAATATCTAAATCCATGGTTAACGCGATTTCATAATATCTACTAATAATCTATCTTCTATAACAAAAAAGAAAAGCTACTACTTCATTAAATATGGTTTTATTTAAAATAATTTTTTAGGATACAATATTTAGTTTTTTTTTTAATGATAACGATATTTTTAAACTAGTTTGCATATCAAGTAAAATTAAGTTTTTTTCTGAATGACTTTAAAGATTCACTCCCATATTGACATAATAAATTTAAATAATTTTTTTTGAATGTTAATTCTAAAATTTGAATTCAAAAAATTAAGAAATGAAACAACATTTGTATCCACCAAGCCAGTTCCTTCAAATTATTATTTCGGTTAGTTGTCTCATGGCAATTGAGTGAAAATCAAATAATTGGTAATTAATTTATGGGTTTGTAGTAAAACAAGGAAAACTTTTAGTTTATTTTGTTTCAAGGTCCGTCCAACGAATTTTAAACTATGCAGAAATTGAGATAACAATAAAAATTTATCCAATTTCTCCTTAGATTTTGAACCTGAATTCTCTTAATCCCAAATCTAATTAACAATTGAGACATATGCCTTTGAGAACAAATGAATAATTATTGGTAAAAGAAAAACACACAATCAAACAGCAATTGTTCAAAAATTAATGTAAATTATAAGTTGCAGCTATTCATGTAACATAATATTATTGGTGTGTGTGTATATATATATATATATGTATATGTATATATGTATGTCTGTATATATGTATGTATGTATGTATGTATGTATTTGATTCAACTAAAATATTTTTATTAATTTTCATAATATTTGGGTACTTTAATAATCGTAAATCCATAATTTTAAATCTGAATTTGTTTCAAATAAAAGATATTTTCTTTTCATAAATAAAACCTATGCTTTATAGGAAAATGTAATACTGATTAGGTTCCTTTTCTGTTATCGTTATTATTATTTCGTTAACCAAAAAGGAACAACGTGTAATTAATTCAAAGAAGAGTAGAAGATAACATTTTCCTTTCCTATCAGCGTGCATCGTATATTGAGATATTTTTATTTGGCTTGTATTTCTTCTTTGATGTGCACTGTAGTCCTTGAAGATTAACTTACAGGCCTTATAATTATCCTTTGATCTCTATTAAGTCTCTTAATTTTTTTTTATTATGGATTCTTTAGTTATACTAGCCATTGCCCTTTTTTTTCCTAAGTATTTGCATCTCATGTTGAAGATAAAAATAATCTTGTGCAGAACGAGAATTACAAGATTTAATACTTTATAATAAATACGAATTTAAAATTCACACTCTGTATATTGATAAAAAAATTTATCTCCAAACTAGCTCGTTTATCGTTGCAACAACAACCTATGCTTTTAAATCCACCCCAATTCCATAGACCCAACATCATATACATGTAACATCTGAAGCTGTAATCATAAATATTATGTCTTCATTGGATACTGACAATTGAGATGAAATCCCTCGAGTTTGTTTTTATTGTTATGTTTTTCTTCAAGTCATAATTCACAAATATTATATACAACACTGTAAATAAACCTCGTGGTGCTCCTATTTTACACGTTAAATATAAAGTCATGATCATAAATATTAGGCCTCCATTAACCACTAAAAATTGAGATGGATTCTCATACTTTGTCTCCTCTTTGTTGCTGTCTTTACCTTTGCTTCACAGCTGGTATAGATCTTATTATTTAGATACATGTGCTACATTGTTGTCAGATAATTATTATATATGTAAGGTTAAGGATTCGTATAGTATGATGTAAGTAGAAGTTTTTTGTTTCGAAGATTAATTTAAATCGAATTTATATATTAAGCAAATTTATTTGATTTATATATATTTATTAACAAAATAATTTATAATATTAGTATAAAAATTTATATTTGAATAATTAAGAGGTTCTTTCAAAACATTAATTAAATTATTTGATTTTAAAATATAGATTTTAGAACATAAAAAAAAAAACAAATAATTGATGTTATGTGTGCGAGATATAATTAAGTTATAAGAAAACTACCATATATGTATCGTATTTAGCATATTTAGAATATATAAAATAGATAAAAAAATATATACAAAAAAACTCATTGAAATCTCATGGAATATATCGAAGTAAATAGATTTAAATAAAAACTATTATAAAATTGGTTTCAATAAATTCTTATTATATATATATATATATATATATATATATATATATATATATATATATATATATATATATATATATATATATATATATAACCAAATAAAACTTGAGGATTTTTAACTAATTATTATTTTTTAAAAATTGAGTCAAATTATTTTTTTAACTGATTATTATTTTTTAAAAAAATTAAGTCAAATTATCTCAAATACACTATTAGTATTCTCTCTCATTAGAATTTATATATGCAACTACACTCGCTTTCATTTAAAAATCATAAAAATAATCAATCATATAAATTATAATAATATATTTTAAAAAATAAAACAATTATGTTCTTAAATTTTATTTCAAAATCAATATATAAAAAATTAAATTTATTAATAAAAAATATATAAAAAATAAAAAAATAATTTGATGAGAGTTTTGATAAGAAACAAACAATTGAATAAATAAATTTTAAATAATAAAAATAATATAATTAAATGTATATGTCCATACTAAAAATCTTAAAAAATATCATATATATTTTATTATTTTTAAATTGTACTTAAAACTAAAAAAAAATTATATTTTCACATATAATTTCATGATGAAAAAATATAAAATATATTACTGAAAAAAAAAAAAAGACAAATGGGACTGCTTGTGCAGGCCTGCGAGCCATGCCAGGCTTGCCTTAGCCGGCTTCTCCAAGACTGGGCTGCTAGCCAACCCTTAAAAAAACAAAAATGCTCCAGGAAAATCTTTTAGTTTTTTTTTTCAACTAGTTGGTGACTCATGTTTCACTACAGATCTGATATAATTAGATGTATTTGGAATAATAGTGTTCATAAATAACGTTATAAAATAAAATGTATTTACGAATAAAATTTAAATAAATTAATTAATCAATTGATAAATTCATCCGTATCAATTTACTTAATTTGTTGTATCGACTGTTGTTGTGTTAATAAATCATGTGATTTGTCAGCATAAATAGTAGTAGAAGAAACAAGAACTAGCACCTGTGTCTCGGTTCTAGCTAACCTATCAGCCATGTTTTTTTAAAGCTTTAGTGATAAGAATACTTTGGGCCAACTTTCATGCATGGTTAAATTTTTCTTGCCAATCATTTAGAAAAAAAAACATGTTTTGAATTGAATTAGAAAAACATGTTTTTTTTCAAGCTTTGGTGATAGGAAAAGAATTATCTTAATGTTTTGAATTGAATTAGAAAAAGTCACTGCTTTTAACCATTAAAATCTACATCGGTCTCATCATTTAAATTTGATTTAAAAGAAAAATTACTTAATTTGGTGATTAATTTGTTATGTTAATTATATAAAATTAATTTTGCTTTGGCATGGGTACAGTTCCTAACATTCTTGGCAGCGCTTATAAGAGAACGTCTATATGATTCTTTAAAGATTATTTTTTATGAATTTTTGTAATAAATATATATATGAACTTTGTAATTTTTTTAAAATTATTAATCAGTACTGAATCGATTTATAAAAAATCAGTAAAAATATTGAATATATGCACGTGTGAAAAGGGAGTTTTTATGACGAGTCATTTTTTTTAATATTCGTTCTTTATCTAAAATTATTAAATTGTTTCAATATTTGAAATTTTAATTGCAATTTCGACGTGGATAATTTTACTTGTTACTCGAACACGAAGATTTACTCCTAATATTGGAAGCTAAATAAAAAAATGATGGCACTAAAAAGGTATTTGATTCAAATAGTGAAAAAAAAAACCTATTCAATATAAAGTATTAAATTTGAATTTCGCCATTATTTTTTAAAGAAATAACATATTTATATTCATCGAAATTCCCTAGCAAAAATACGTACGCTTCCGCTTCAACATAATTGTAGTACATATAATTACAAATATATATAAATGTAAATTTATTTTATAATAATAATAATAATAACAAAGCTTACAAAAATAATAAATAAACATTTTTACACGAAATCTTCAACCTTTCAAAAACCGAGAGAATCTTTCAACACCTAACGCGCCGCGATCTAAAAAATAAAAGCGCGAAACGTGTCAAAACCACGCAAATTTCCGTTGGCAAATCCTGTAGTCATTCTCAACTCAAACGCCAAAACCACAAACTTCATGAAAATATCTAGCCTTCCCTTACCGTATGGTAGATGGCATTTATTCGGTCCTCCTATTTTAATTATACCTCCTTTTTGGTCCTCTCACTATCTCTTCCTCGTTTCATCCCCCTGCTCCACATTATCAAAATGTGTATGAAATTCTCAAGCTTAAAATGCTGCAGTACATTTTAGAGCATTTAGTGAAACAAATTTGAGCATGTGATTAGATAATTATCCCCATTCAAATTATCAAAACTACAAAGTCTACTAATTTAGAACTCCAAGATATACATGTTTGATAATTAGATAATTAAAAGAAAAAATTCATCTAGTGTGTATAAAAAGGTTCAAACTTTCCTTGAATTTTAAATCATTTAAAATTTGGTTTCTCGTTAATTGATTGAACCTTTTTTTGATTATTTTTTATTTAAAATTAAAATTTTCAGTTACTTTTTATTTAAAATCAATTTTTTTTGTTGAGTTTTTTTTTTTTAATCTACGTATAAGAGCAATTCTTCAACCAAAAAAAGACTTGTCAAAACTTATAGATCATTTGGTTTTATCTCCTAAAGGCTAAAAAATTAAGCAATTAAAGAACACAACAGGAAAGAAATAAGTTTTGAAGAAAAAAACAAAATATTCATAAATTTTGATATATGTTTAATTATTAAAAAAAATAAAAAATCAACCACTTGCAAATAATGCGTATTTCCACCCTTATAATTAATGGAAATCTAACTGAAAAACTCAGTTCTGAATGATAAATAATTGAAAAAGATCTAACTAGAAATTAAAAATTAGTAAGGTGATTCTTAGATAATCTAAAATGCAGAAGAAGTTTGGAATATCTTATCTTTTTTTTTTTTTTTTTTGAATTCGTTAACATCATATTCAAAGTTTAACGAAAAAGACATAGCAAGATCAAAACGTTCTGATTTTTTGGTCATTCTAATAAGAAAAAGAGCAAGTGATGATAAAAGAGGTTAGCTCTAAAGACACAAAGATGGCAAGTTAGTTTCAACTTTCTAGGTCTTTTGTCAAAGATTTATTCCTTCACGTTAACAGAGGTCCAAATCCATGGTTACCGTAGTTTCATAATATCTATTAATAATCTATCTTATGTGAAAAAAAAAGCTACTACTCCATTAAATATGGTTTTATTTAACATAATTTTTTAGGATACAAGTTACAATAGTTAGTTTTTTATTTTGATGATAACAATGTTTTTAAACTAGTTTGCTTATAAGTAAAATTAAATTTTTTTCCCGAGCAACTTTAAAGATTCACTCTCGTATCGTTACTTCTAAAATTTGAATTGAAAAAAAAATTAAAAAATAAAACAACATTTCTATCCATCAAGCCAGTTCCTCGAATTATTATATCGGTTAGTTGTCTCTTGGTAATTGAGTGAAAATCAAATAATTGATAATTAATTTATGGGTTTATAGTAAAATAAGGAAAACTTTCAGTTTTATTTGGTTTCGACGTCCGTCCAGAGAATTTTAAACTATGCAGAATTGAGATAATAATAAAAATTTATCCAACCTCTCCTTAGATTTTGAACCTAAAAGCTCTTAATCCCAAATCTAATTAACAATTGAGACATATGCCTTTGAGAACAAATGAATAATTATTGGTAACAGGAAAACACATAATCAAACAGCAAATGTTAAAAAATTAATGTAAATTATAAGTTGCAACTTTATATTTTTTAATTATTAATCACTGAATCATTTTATAAAAAAATCGGTAAAAATATTAAATACACGCAACGTGTGAGAATGAAGTTTTTATGAAGAGTTTTTTTTTTAATATTCGTTGTCCATATAAAAATATTAAACTGTTTCAATATTTGAAATTTTAATTGCAATTTCGACGTGGATAATTTTACTTGTTACTCGAACACAAAGATTTACTCCTAATATTGGAAGCTAAATATAAAAAAAGAAAATCATGGCATTAAAAAAGTATTTGATGCAAATAGTGAAAAAAAAACTATTCAATATAAAGTATTAAATTTGATTTTCGCCATTAGTTTTTAAAGAAATAACGTATTTATATTCAACGAAACTCCCTCGCAAAAAATACCTACACTTCCGCTTCAACATAATTGTAGCACATATAATTACAAATATATATAAATGTAAATTTATTTTATCATAATAATAATAAAGCTTACAGAAATAATAAATAAACCTTTCGACACGAAAGCTTCAGCCTTTCAAAAATCGAGTTGGAATCTTTCTATACCCAACGCGCCGCGATCTACAAAAGAATAGCGCGAAACGTGTCAAAACCACTCACATTTCCGATGGCTAATACCGTAGTCATTCTCAACTCAAATGCGAAAGCCACATACTTCATAAAAATATCTAGCCTTCCCTTACCGTACGGATAAAAGGCATTATTCGGTCCTCCTATTTTTTTATTACCTCCTTTTTATCCTCTTACTATTTCTTCCTCGTTTCATCCCCTCACTCACATTAGCAAGAGGTGTATGAATTTGTGAAGCTTTCAATGCTTCAATACATTTTAGAGCATTTAGTGAAACAAATTTGAGTATGGGATTGGATACTTATCCCCATTCAAATTATTAAAACTAAAAAACCTATTGGATTAAAACTCTAACATATACATGTTCTATAATTAGGCAATCAAAAGAAAGAATTGTTGAGTGTGTATATACATAATCAACAAAAATATATATGAATATTTGGGGACATTTTTATTCAAAAGATATCACAAGCCTAAAAAACTTTTACATTTTAAAGAAAATATGCTTTTTATTTTGGAACACAAAGTTTATTTTTGTTTTTTATTTTTGGAAAATTAGAGTAATGCGACATTATTAAATAGATCCTTAGCTTTTCTTTCACCCATTTTGTATATATATCTTCCAACACAAATAAATATATGTGTATAATAATTTCTAATGCATAAAGTGTTAATTATTTTCAATGTATATTATCTTTTTAATCATATAATTACAAATATTATTTTTTAAAACCACTCCGAGTCACTCCCACGATTAACCTTTAAACCAAACACATGTTGTATTTTAAGGCTTTGATTTCAGAATGTATATGACATTTATTGAAAGTATTTATTGTACTGCTTAATAAAGGACCAAGCTATTACCAATATTGAGAGCAGAGTAGGGATGATATCACAATAATACACGAAAACGAGCGAAATAAAAACAAAATTAAGAATAGAGGGACTAAATTCACCGTTGAACCAAACAAAATCTCTCGAACTTTCCTCCTTCCTTTTTTCTCAAAGATATTTTCTCTCCCTCCCAAGCACAAACAGCCCTTTATAGTTTCAGTTTTTCTCACATCCTCAGGACAGAACAGAAACAACAAAGTGTTTTCTTCGTAGGACCTGAGTTCTTGTTTCTCTGCTATGCTAATTCTACGAATTCTTTTACGGCTGTGAGATTTTCACTTTGCTGTTTTACGTAAATTAAAAAGACATGGATCGAGAAGGAGGATCCAATGGCGGATCTTGTTACTACACGATTCTTGGTATTCGCAGGGATGCCTCCTTCTCTGATATCCGTTCTGCTTACCGTAAACTTGCCATGGTAAATTCAAGAATCAAAACGACCCACGTTTTGTCCCATCTTGCTGATTTATCAAAAGTTTGTAACTTTTTTTTAATGATTTCAGAAGTGGCATCCTGATAAGTTGGCTCAAACTCAAAATCCTGGCGCCGCCGGAGAAGCAAAACGGCGGTTTCAGCAAATTCAAGAGGCCTATTCCGGTGAGTTTCAAGGTTTTAATGGTGTTAATAGGGTGTTGGGGTTGTGTTTTTGAACGGAGCTAAATTATGGTTAATGGGTTTTTGCAGTTTTATCTGATCAATCAAGAAGGTCAATGTACGATGCTGGGCTCTATGATCCTCTAGAGGAAGAAGACGAGGTCCGTTCGGAAATATCTTCTTTGCTTTCTATTTCGTTAATTCTTACAGTATAGAACAAACGGTGTCGGTTTATATCTTGGTGTGCGGTGGTTATTAATTGGCTTGGCATATTCAGTTTACTGTTTTTTATGCGGGGTAGTTGCGGTTTTCGAGGCCATTGTCGTGGCAATTTCGTAAATATGATGTTTGCTACCACTGCATTTTGATTGTGCAGATAATACACATCCGATGCTTTATTGTTAATCCCACTAATTTTTTCGAAAGTTACTAATATGCCCTCCATCAATAGTAGTTGATGAATAATGTATTAGTAATTATCTTTAAAAAATTGGTAAAAATGATAATTTATTGGTGAATTTAACAGTATTTTATTTTGGATCTATTTGTTGGAGCAGCCAACATGTTACGTACATGACATGTATTACATACATCATGTTACATGTACCGATAATATATGTATCACATGCTATGAAATGCTGTTTTTTTTCTTTTGTTTCTTTTGTTAGTTTTCTTTTAATATATTGCCAATGTGTCTGAATTTGAAAACAGGATTTTTGTGATTTTATGCAAGAGATGATCTCTATGATGAACAACGTGAAAGATGAGGTATGAAGTTTATCTCCCACTTCTTCACTTTCCCGTCTTGCCCCTGATTTTTGTGAGTTGTATTTGTTTGCTAAGCCATTTGAAAAAGGGTAGGATGGTAAATTTGACCTACCGACGGTGTGTTATTTATTGCAGGGAGATAGTTTTGAAGATCTGCAGAAGATGTTTGTGGAAATGGTTGGTGGAACCGGTGTCGGCTTTGACGTCGATGATGATCCAACGAATGTGAAGAGGGCACGTGTCACCTCAACGAAAGGTAATGCGGCGAAGCGCGGCGCCTTTCGCTGTTGATGCATGAATCTTATTGGAGCCTCCAGCCACCTGCTTGATTGACCTCCTTTTTTCTTTTTCTTTTTTTTTAATTTGTACCTTTTGGTTTTAAAAATCTTGATGCCAGCTTAAAGAAATAGATCTGTTTGGGGTTTCTTGGGAATTTGGGTGTTTATTGGGGGTAGTTTAGGTAACATCGTAGTTTGTTCTTAACTTGGAAGGCTTGTGATGAGACTCAGATTGAATAATTTGGGTAACATCGTAATTTGGGTGTGACTTAGATGTTTGATGTTATTTTATAATTGATTGGAACTTTGAAATGATGTTTCTTACTTTAAAAAGAATGATTCATAAAAGATCTAATTCATGATAAAAATGATTTTCAACAAATCAAGAACTAATTCATGATAAAAATAATTTTCAATAAATCAAGAATGATAAAACATCATTGTTTCTATATTGAAAAAATAATTTGTTTTTTCATGTAGAAAACAAATAAAACCAAAAATTGAATAATATCTTAGGTTTGATTTTGATTTTTGTAGATCCGAATAATAGAAAATCAAATTGAATTTATCAAGATCAAAACCAAATAAGTCAATGCTCATCTCTAAAGACGAATACGATAGGCCCTTTTTTTTTTTTTCTTTTGTATGAGACATTTCTTTGGCAACATCAGACCACATGGGCATCAAAAGCCATTTTTTAAGGTCCTTCGATCATGCAAAAAGGCATGGGCCAGCATGGGGAGGCAGATTTTACATTTGTTATACATACTTATAGTTTTGTAAAACATTATATTAGCAAGGTATTGGTTGGGGCTTTGTATAGTTCCTAGATGCTTCATTGCTCTAACTACCGGTTGCTATTCACGTGATGGGTACATCTGCTAATTTCTTATATATAAATGCTTAGCTGAACAGTTCAATGTACTTGATTTTACGCTTTACCGTATCATCATTTTGGATTTAAATCCTTATAAAATGAGCATCCATTTCTTGCAGTAAATATATAGTTCGAGTGTGGATAATAAGATTGTAGTTTGCTGATAAAGTATTGATTTATATGTTAGGTTTAGAATTCAACTTTTGTGACTAACAATTTATTTTTTCAATATCCATGATGCATTAGCAAATGTCGTTTAATCACATCAAAAAATAAATATATTTTAAAATACTTGAAAGCTGATCCAACATTGGATATTAGGATTTAGTACTATTTAAAAAAAAAACTCAAATTATCCGAACTAATTTGGGTGGTAAAATTTTTAAAATTTTACATTATGCGTTGGAGAGCGTAGCTTAGTCACATAAAAAAAAATTATTTTAAAATACTTGAAAGCTGATCCGACATTGGATATTATTAGGATTGAGTGTTATTTAAAAGAAAAAATCAAATTATCCCAACCAATTTGGGTAGAAGCAGAGTTAATTGTATTTTTTTTGTTTATCTGTATACTAATTTATTTAAAAATGTAAAAATAACGAGTTGTCATTTTACTTAAACCTAATTTTATACGGTCAAAACTTTTCTAGGGCCTAATTTTATCTAATTAATTGAATTTTTTTTTAAGGAGTTTGGGTTTAAAGAAATCAAAGGGGTAATGGATTCAAAATCTGGGTGATTCGGATTATCCGAAATATAATTAGGATAAAATATAGTTCAAAAATCAAAAAATTATTTCCCATAGAGAATGCTAAGCTCTATTTTGATCACTTGATGGTGTAATCTGCAAAAGCTTTCTGAAGGTCCATGAGTGCTAGCGGTCCACATTTCTACTATATTTTTGCAACTTATTGGATCAAGAATCGTACGACACAGGACTGTCGCTGTTAGTACATAACCATTGTGTCTGTAGTAGAAGGATGCTTCTAGTTCCTGCAACTCGCTAACTTACGTTGGATATTTGTATCTGCCTTGCTTTGCTTTTTCTAGCTTTTGTCATCATTTTTCTCTTATACAAAGGGGTGGTGGTTGTCCTGTGTTGGTGTGTTGTGGGTGGAGAATCATGGCACAGAAGATTGTTATTAAAGCTAAATTGTAAATTTTTTAAAAAATTGAACGAAAAACAAATATTGCTAAACTAATTTTTTTTTAATTTGCTTCTTAAATAAAATTAATTTTGTAATTTGTTCGTTTTTGTAAAATTTCATTGAAACAATTGACGGAAAAAGACTTGAAAATCCTCTCAAATCCTCTATTTTCTTAACCAGTAAAGATATTTTTCTAAGTTAGTAGAGAAGAGAATAGGAATTGAAAGAATTTTCAAAGATTTTTCCGTCAACTTGCTAACTTACGTTGGATATTTGTCTCTAGCTTGGTTTGCTTTTTCTAGCTTTTGTCATCATTTTTCTTTTATATAAAGTGGGGGTGGTTGTCCTACGTTGGTGTGTATTGTGGACTCGTGGGTGGAGAATCATGGCATGGAAGATTACTAGTAAGGCTAAATTGTAATATTTTCTAAAATTAAACCAAAAAACAAATATTGCTGAACTAATTTTTTTAAAAAAATTTGCTTCTTAAATAAAATTATTTTTTGAATTTTTTTATTTTTGCAGAATTTCCTTGAAAAAATGACGGAAAAGGTATTGAAAATCCTCTCTATTTTCTGAACGATTAAACATATTTTCCTGAGTTAGTAAAGAAAAGAATAGGAATTGAAAGATTTTTTTACAGATTTTTCCGTCAACTTGCTAACTTACCGTGTATATTTGTCTCTGGCTTGCTTTGCTTTTTATATCCTTTGTCATCATTTTTCTTTTATACAAAAGGGGAGGTGGTTGTCTTATGGCTTTGAGTAGCAATTTTATAATATTAAAAAAGTAATCAGTATAAATTATTTTATAAAAAAGATAAATATAAAAAAAATTAAGCTAACATTAAATTTTTTTTTTTTATCAATTTTGGTTGATCTGAATGTAATTTTTTTTGTGTGTTTATCTTTTTTTTTTTTTAAATGAGCTCATGTAGTAAGTCCTGTGAATATACATTAATTATTAGTTAAGTATTATAAATTTTCTTGATGTATGTGCTGTGTGGGAGAATCATGACACAAAAGATCATAATTAAAACTAAATTCTTAAATGTATTTCGAATTTTTTTAATATGATTTTTAGATTTGCACATTTTTGTAGAATTTTTTTATTGAAAAATTGATAGAAAAACCGTTGGAAATCCTCTTAATTTCTTTTTTTCCTCTATTGTTGAACATGTTTTATTAAATCAGTAGATAAAAGAATAAAGATTAAGAGGATTTTTATGGTTTTTTCTGTCAATTTCTCAATAATATTTTAATTTCTTTTTTTTTTTTCTATATTTAGCAATGTTGCTTTCCTGGCCTTAATGAACACCAAAATAGTGAACAACTAACGTGGTTCCAAAGAGGCAGAAAACTATATAATAAGTACATTAATTTTAAATTTTTTTAATCAGATATATCAATTTTTATTTTTTTCCTTTCAGTATATTAATTATTTTCAAATATCAATCAAGTTTTTTTGTCTAAGTTTTCATCTAATGATGACGTGATAGTTTATAAAGAATGTTAAATGACTATATTGTCCTTTTTTCTCTTTTCAAATTGTTATTATTGTTTAATTATTTAATTATTAATTAAACAACAATGACAATTTAGAAGGAAAAAAGAACAAATAAACCAATATATTTATTTAATATTATTTGTTAACTATAACGTTATTATTAGATAGAAAATTAAACAAAAAAAACTTTATTGATATTTTTAAAAAAATTGATATACTAAAATCAAAAAATAAAAATTAAAGTATTCGATCGAGAAAATATTTGAAATTAATATATTTATTATGTAGTTTTTCTTCTCAAAAGGCACCCTCGCACTCTAAATAAAAAAAATTTCCTTTTTTTTTTTTCTGTTTTTCTTGCGAGTGAGCCCCACTGCTGGCTCTACTGATAAATGGAATATGTTTTCTTCAAGCATATCATGATAACACAATAGCTTAAAGGAATTGGTATAAAGACAAAGAGACTGCGGCTCTCTCTTTTTTCTCGCATAACTTTTCAATCACAGTTTTTTTAGGCTATCGCGGATGATTAAATTTTAGCCATCCGCGATCACCGGTGATTATAATTTAATCTTCCCCGATAGACCTGTAATTTGTTTTTCTTTTTTATTATTGTATATCTATATTTTAAATATGATGTTTTTAATAGTCTAAATAATTATGAATTTAGATCTATATGATTAAAAATTTATGATTTTATTTGGTTTGTTGTTATTGATATTTACGATTTTTTGTTATTATTTTGTATTGAATGAGCGTTAGTTCAAAAATATAGTGTATTGGAGAATAAAATTACTATCTTAGCCACAAATATTATCTGAAAATTACAACTACTTACTGTTGCGATATCTATTTGAAGAAGCTGTGGCTGTGCTGAAGGGGAAGAGGCCCTGCACATCTTGTCTTAACAAAAGAAAATTTTTAAAACTCGTATGGAAGTCCATAAAATAGAAATGACAAGAAAATACTTGGAAGATTATAAGTATTTACTTCGGAAAATTTAGAAAACTTATTCTTTTAATTTTTTGAAATTGAATTTTGAGTTGGCCATTTAAAGAAATTCATTCTTCCAAGTACACTAGATCAATATTAAAATTATATGTTTAATATCATTTAAAAAAAAAATACCATAACATGATTCGACAATTTTAATTTAAATGGAATGTTGATTAAAGTCTATAACTTTCAGGTCTGGTCCTCACCTCAATAACCCAATTAGATTTTTGCAGCCAGTGGCGGGGAATCATTAAGATGGTGTTATTAATTTTTTAAAAAAATACTATTATTATTACTATCATCATTTTCTTTTCTATCATTTTCAGTATCATCACAATTATTTCTATTATTTTACCATGATCAATATTAATAAAAATAACTCTTTTAATCATCATTTATTTTCTCTTAAAATCTAAATATTAAAAAAATTCATTTTGATTTTTTTATGATTATTTTAAATATATTATTAAAATAAAAATATCATTTTAATTCTTTGATTTTCATTCCCTGGTCTTTATTTTTATTCAAGAAGTTTGAAGTTTCATTATTGAAAACCAAACCACACATTTAACAAGTCTATGAACATAAAAATTAATACACGGAAACACGCAGATGTTTTGTCTACAACTGAAGCAAGGTTTGTTGATGGATTGGACTTAGATCGAATCATAATATATTTGGATCTAATTTATTTAATAAAATAAATTGAATCGGGTTTTGAAAATATGAAATTAAGTATGGATTCTAAAGGATGCGGATTGAATTCGAAGCTCCATTGGATTTGTCACTTGATTTTTGTGAAAAAAAAAGCATGATTACTATATTTCATATATTGCTTAAAAACAAAACATATTTCAGTAACTACATGTGTAATAAAATATATTAAGATAATATTTTATTTATCGATTTTGCAAAGAATTCAAAATATCATATAATTCAAAAATACAAAATCAAATAATTTTAATAAAATTTATCTCGAACTATGTAAAAGGTATGATAAAATTAAAAGAAACGAATAATAAATAATATTTGTTTTTTTTGTCAACGCAGCAACAAAAATAAAGCAATGAAAAATATAATGAAACCAAGTCTTGAAAATATATATAAATCAATTTATAATTTTTTTTCAAGAAATTGAATTAAGAAAATGACAAGAAATTTATAAATGATTTTTTTGAAAATATAGCAATCGTCGTTGAAGGATATGCATTATTTGAATTTTATAATAAATAAACTCTAAATTTTAACTTTTTTTTATATTTATATAGATTTTTTACATTTAAATTTTTATTATTTCAAAAAATAATATGTTTATTATAAAAATATTATTTTTAATTTCGAATCGAATTATTATCAATTCGGATGAACGTAGATCCGGATTTGATCTATTTAATAAACAGATTAACAAATTCGAATCATAATAGAATTCGGATAAAAAAATTATTTTTTAAATATATTTAATTACATCGTATTCGAATTAAGATACGATACATTTAAAGCCCTAATTGAAACACTATTTCAAAAAACATTATATTTATTATAAAAATATTATTTTTAATTTTGAATTGAATTATTATCAAATCAGATAAGATAAATTCGAATTTTTATTTAATAAATAGATTAACAAATTTAAATAAAAATGAAATTCAGATAAAAAATTATTTATCAAATTTATTGAATTTCATCACATTCGAATTAACATACCAGACATTTACAGCCCTAACTTAAACACAGGAACCCCAGAAATTAAAGTGGCTCAGACGATCAGATCAACTTAAGCTTTGTCAGGCCCGAAAAGCTGCACCTCGCAGCCCACTGTCCACTTGACTGAACCAACTAGTGTCAGGTGCGAAACATTTAATTCGTCAACATCCCAGAAATTAATGTGACCTTGTCCCGTTTTAATGACACTCAGCCTGCAAGCACCTTGGCGTGAACGATTGAGCTGTGAAGCACGTAGAGTTTTAATCATAGGTTTCTTTAATCTTTCTAACGTTTAAAGATTCTTCTTCTATGAGCAGAAGTAAGAAGTTCGAGTAAGAGAATTATAAATTATTTGATCGATCCCAACGACCCGATCACCAAATGAAAGTAGGCTCCGATGTAAAACTTGTTCTTGTATTTTTTTTTCTTGGAAGATATATATGGTTAAAAGAAAAACAAACTTGAAACAAATGAAAATGACTTACGGTTATTTGAATAGATGAAAATATTTTACAGAAAAACGTCATTAAGTCATGGGCTTCGTCACAGAATTAATTCTTATCTTCTTCTTTTTAACACTTAATTTTCGTAGATGTTAATTTAGATACGAATTTTAGCTTGAAAAATAAACAAGACAAGAGTGCAACAAATATTCAATTTTATTAAAATTATGTGTGTCAATATAATCTCTAATATATATATATATATATTTTTACAAAAAATTGTTGTTCTTCTACTAAAAAAAATTGGGTTGAACGGAATAGTCTCTAATCGCTTAAATACATAACTTTAAATTTAAATTTTTACATATGTAGAAAATTTATTAGATAATTATATCTATATGTGTACCTGATAAAACATAAGGAATTGGTTTAGGTTTTTAAATTTGAAACATGTTAGAGAAAAAAAAATTATTGTATTTAATTCTTTCATTCGTGAAAATATTTGAAGACTCGGATCTTGATGAGCAGGAAATTTAGTGCTTTGCAAGAACACATGAATCTTAGTGTGCTTTTGCTCGGCTTGATTTGGTATTTTGATGAACAATTTGAAAAATGTATTTGATTTCTCCTTGTATAGATGAAGCAATGTTCTATGGGATGCTAGACTTGATTTGGTAGAGTTTCATGCTTTTGTTCTTGAAGATAATTTATTTATTTGTTATTATTTTTTAATGAAGCCCTCTATTTGTAAAGGCTTTTTAAGCTAGATTTGTACTTTAGCATATGACAAGTGGCACTATTTGATTGGCAAAAGACACATGTCAACGTGTTCCTTTATAATGTAAGATGTCATAAAAAAATACATGACAATCAGTATTTTGATTTGCCAAAAGATTCTAAATTTTCTTCTAGTGACTGTTGACCTGTTTAAAATATATAATCATTAATAAATTTACAGAATCTTAAAATGACATATAAAAAATTTATAACTGTCCAGAGTTTTTGGTTTCTACAAACAATTGTTTTCTTTGAGCTTTAACTAACCAAATTAAATTTTATCTCTGATATATCTTTACTTTTGTAAATACATCTACTATGTTTTTAAATAATATTTAAATTTTCAATTTGTTATTTTTATCAAAAAAATTTCCTAAATACAAAAAAAAAAAAACTAAAAACTTCAAAAAATGAAACATGCATATCATTTTGACTTTAAGGTTTTTTTTTTCTTTTTTCTTTTTTAGTTATGGGGATGTTTTATAAAATAAATTGTCCATAGCTGAAAAAATTGAATGAAAAAACATATTGAAAACTTAAATATTATTTAAAAATATAATTAAAAATATAAAAATAAATTAAAAATTCAAGTATTATGTAAAGACAAATTGAGCTATTTACTCCATAATTAAATAATAAAAAATTATATTTTTCAGAAAAATATTTTTCAAAAATAAAGTTATTTTATACGAATTCATGTAATAGCATGCACGTTAAATAAATTTCAAGATAAATTCATAAAACAAAATTACTTAAAAAACGAAACAAAAATGTTTAGAAAATCTTACTGCACTAGCCGGTATTGACATTAGAGCCCACAGCATGAAACATTCAAATTGTTCGTCTAATAATTTGTCAATAAAGACCTCAATTCTCAAGGTAAAATCATAACTAATCTCGCAAAAGAGGAAAAGAAACACTTTACGTTGAGTTTTGTTAGGACATGTGGCCCAAAACTTGTACTTAGGTCGTCCAGGGCCCAGTAAGTGGAATGGGCCTTATTATGTTAAACGGTATGGATACGTGACTGGATTTAATCTCCTGATTGAGAAAAAAATTGTGTGTGGATGCTAATGAGGCTGTAAACCTTCAGAGATGATTTGGTTTTTTCTTGACTGGCATAGTTATATTTGTGGATGGAGCTTAAACTAATAAGAATACATGCAAAACAAGTTTTTTTTTTTTTTTTTTTTATTCAGTGGATTTTAGGGACTTCTAAACCGGTGTACGAAAAGAATAATGACAAAAAAAAAACAGTGATACAAATACCAAGAAGAGGATACATAATAAAAATATTAAAAAAATTTAAAGTTTGGGACTTGTCAAGTTGTGTGGCAAAAAAAAAAAAAAAGGTTAGGAAGTTTTTTTTTTTTTTATCAATAGTTCTTAATATCTATTGAAAGATAAATATTCGTAACGTTGATAGATCAATATTGAAAAAGTATGACGATATTATAATTAATGTTTGGTTAGACAAAACTACTTCAAATATGTTTTTATTTAATAAATATATTATATATTTTTTTAGTTGATGAAATTGAATTTGACCATCCGAGATAGCTATTTGGCCTAAGACCATTTGGGACGTTCATAGACGTGACTTAGTTAGGTCAGTTTGCCTACCTACATTCCGAGTTTAGTTCTATATTATTGAATTCTCGTCCAAATTGATAGTTTGATTGGAGTTTGGAAGTAGGAGCTATCTAATTCATATTTTGGTTTGTATAGTTTTTCTTTTTTCAATTCTCTGTCTACTTCAACGTCTGCCGTTTTTAATGTTTGGTAAATCCAATCCAGGACCCAAATGAATTATATATGAAAGGATATGCCTACAACTTTAAAGCATCCGTCATTGACAAAACTTTTGATCAATCAAGCAATTATTTTGCGCTCTTGAAATTGGTATTGCTTTCATTCCTCAATGACACAGGAGAAGCTTAAATATTGCATTTTATACTAAGTAATATATTTAAATATATCAAAATTAAGCTTATCTATTATTTATATAAATAATTGATCCTAATTTTGAACTTCGATAACAGAGGAAGAGACTACTTTTTTTTTTTTATTATCAGAGTATTCCAAATTCAAAAATCTAAATTAATTTTTCGTTATTCAATCGGACGGACAAAATAAAGATAGTTACATAAAGAATTTTTTATTTACACAAAGATTTGAATCCAAACTATTTACTTAAATGATTGAAGTTTTTTTTCGCTTAAGTCAATTTTCTTGGATTAGAGACTGCTTCTTCTAGACTATGAGACTCAATCACTTAAATTAGCTTAAATATAGGTATTATAATGAATTTAAGGTCAATGTTAGAAAGATAATATTAAAACATATTTATTCCGAATAACAGAAGCATGAACCTTATCCCGAACACCAAACAATATCCCATTATTTTATATCCAAGGAGGCTGCCTTAACCCCATGTATTTTATGTTCCAAAAGTGATTTATATAATTTAAAGAACTTCGAGCATCCTAAATAATGAACTCATTTTCAATTCTTTGCCTTGCACACTACACGAAGAAACGACATTCAAGGCCTAGGGTAAACTATAGAGCACCCCTTGAAGTCTTATGAGTTTTTCACCATTGCCCCTAAAAGTAATTTTTTCCGCACAAAGGTTTCAATTCTATCCCTCCATCTTTCTCCTTTTAACTTTTTTCTTTTAATATGAAATCTCTCTTCTCAATCAAAATCACAATGTAACTTTTCGTTTTAATCACAAAACAGATGAAACAAATAAAAAAAAATCTCTGTTTAGATTCAGTTCATCCTTCAAAACCATATCACGTTCTAGATTTAATGAAATACAATGAATTGAGTATTAATTGTCTTGGCTATATTAACTAATTTTTTTTCCTATCCCTTGGAAGGGACAAAAGATTGCATCATATTATGTCATATAATATAATTAATTAAGAGTTTTATAACGACCTTTTAATCTTTACAATTTCTTTGGCCATTTGTATTTTCTTTCTTATTGCAGATTAATATAGATTTAAAAGCATGTTTAACAAATATAAATAGATATAGTATAACGATTGTCTACTCGATTATTTTTTTCAATGAAATAAGTGCAAGTCTTTATGATTTTAATTTATTTTGCTTATTTTACGATTCTCTTTGAGTAATCTGAAGTCTAGCGAACTTTTTAATAAATCAAATCAGGAGAAAAAAACGTTTAATGAAATGGATAGTTTATGAAAAAAATTTAAAAGAGCACTCTTGTGTTTTTTTTTTAAAAAAAAACCCCAAAATTGTTTGGTATGCATAACTTCCTTAAAGGGTCCATATCAAAAAATCCAAAAAAAGTTTTTTTTTTTTATTTTTGGAAGAAATTCCATTTTAAAACATTTTTTTTCCATAGAATTTTCCATCTCTATTAAATATATGTTTTTTCAGTTATAACGCAATCTCAAAACCAAAGCAACCAGAACCTAAAACCTTATATAGAGGTTTCGTAATTTATTAATGATCTCTTGTAACATGGAATCATGAATTCAAATGCTAACTTTGTGAGTAAAATATATATTTTTCATCTCTATTAAATTTTTTTTTCATAAAATTTGGCATCTCTTTTATATATATATATATATATATCACATAGAATTTGAACTTGCCATATTTTTATATATATATATATATAGAATTTGAACTTGCGAGATAGATAGATATATATATATATATATATATATATATATATATATATATATATATATATATATATATATATATATATATATTTTATTTACTTAGAACTTTTGTTATAAGAAATTATTATTATTGAATCATAAGTTATTGGGTTACCTGAAAAAATATAACGCAGCAAGCCTAGGCAATAAACGACGTCGTTGCCAGTTGGAATTCAGGACCCACCACGACCTTGCTGGTAGGCCCCACCATCTCCGGAAAGGAACCTTTTCTCTTCTCTTTCAAAATTCAAATTAACCCAACCGGTGGTACATCTGGTAATAAAATCACGATCCAAGCCCACTTTCTCACCAACCCTATATATATAAACAAACCTCTCTGGTACTCCATCCCTCTCTCTTCTCAACTTTCAAAAATCAAACAAAATTGCAAAACCCTCAAATCCTCATTTCTCTCTCTCTGTCTCTACAAAAACTTCAATTAATTGTTTGATTAATTGCTTAATCATTCGATCAAGTCGCCAATCCAAAATAATCGTGTAATTAGTTAATCCTTTAATCTGAAACGATGTCGTTGAGGCCGAGTGCAAGGACTGAGGTCCGCCGGAACAGGTACAAGGTGGCGGTGGATGCGGAGGAGGGAAGGCGGAGGAGAGAGGATAATATGGTGGAGATCCGTAAGAATCGGAGAGAAGAGAGTCTTCAAAAGAAGAGACGCGAAGGACTTCAGGCACAAGCTATGCCTGCTGCACTTCACTCTTCTGCTGCGGAGAAGAAGGTTCGTTTCGTAGTTTAGTGTTTTCTGGTTTTGGATTTTGAATTGTTTTGATTGTAATTTTGTTTGAGTGCGTGTTCGTGTGTAGGGTTTTAGTGGATATTAGGGTTTTTATCGAATTTGGTTTTAAATGATGGCTTATTGGTTGAATTTAATGATCTGCGGCTGTTTAGATGGTTAAGATTGAGTGAAATTGGCGAATAATATTATTGTGTTATTGACGGCTTGATTGCTTTCGAGCTGCCTGGTTTCGAGCTTTATAGCGTGTTAGCTTTGCTGGACTTGGTTAGAATTAGGTTTCAGTTGGTTTGGAGTTTGATAATTTTTATCGGAATTAGGTGTATTATATTATTCGAAGGCATTGAGTTTTATTCATTTTGTGGAAGGGTTCTGTGGTTTTATTGGTTTCACTGTAAGGTCCGCTCGTTAGGTTGAGCTATGCAACAGGGATATTAGTCTCCACCCTGTATAACCTCACCAGTCCCTTCACAATGGTATCAGGTGCCCGGACCTCTGTTTGGGATTGATCAAACCATTGGTTATTGGTTTATGATGGGTTGATTGAATGGGCTATGCATGTGATGATGTGTATTCTTGTTGAATTGTCTGTAGTGACAATCGGGAAGTGCTAGTTTGGTGATTTTCAAATGTGTTAGCTCATTAGCTTTTGGGAGGTTTAGTTGGTAGATGCTTGTAATTGAGGTGAAATTAGATTGCCTTGTTGTTTTGATTTTGGTTTAATTTTGGTGTATATTTAAAGATGTTCCAGTTTTGATTTATTTTCTATATGTTGGAATTTGTTGTTGCAGTTGGAACATCTGCCATCAATGGTTGCAGGTGTTTGGTCTGAAGATGGTAATCTGCAATTGGAAGCAACCACGCAGTTCAGGAAATTACTTTCAATTGGTGAGAAACTGCTTCCCAGAGCGTATGTCATAATAGTATTAATGCAATTTGCATAACATGTTTCTGTTGTCAATTTGTGTTACCAGAGCGCAGCCCTCCTATTGAGGAAGTTATACAAGCTGGCGTTGTTCCTCGATTTGTTCAGTTTCTTATGAGGGAGGACTTCCCACAACTTCAGGTATTGTAGATGACTTTGACTATTTGTTTATTTTCCTTCTCTCTCTCTCTCTTTTTTTTGGATTGTCTATACTGGAGAATCTAATCAGCTGAAAATTACTGTAGTTTGAAGCAGCTTGGGCGCTCACAAACATTGCTTCTGGGACATCTGAGAACACCAAGGTGGTCATTGATCATGGTGCTGTTCCTATATTTGTACAACTTCTTGGTTCTCCAAGTGATGATGTTCGTGAGCAGGTATGAAAATAGAACATGACTAGTATTAACTAGTTTGACTTTCTTTTACCTGTTTATTTTTTTAGGCTTTGGCTAGGTCTTGATGGAGTTGTTCCGTGTGAATGAATTTGGTTTTTATTAATTAGCAGCTGCATCTAGCTATTCAGCTAGATAATTGTGATAAACCTCCTCCCTTGACTTTTGAGTGTGCAGGCTGTGTGGGCATTGGGAAATGTTGCTGGAGATTCTCCTAGATGCCGTGATCTTGTCCTTGGTCATGGAGCTTTGCTTCCTTTACTGGCACAATTAAACGAGAATGCCAAACTTTCCATGCTCAGAAATGCTACATGGACGCTCTCAAACTTTTGTCGAGGCAAGCCACAACCTCCTTTTGACCAGGTTTGTTTATTTATTAGAGAATTTTAATTGACTTTTGACTTGATGCAAAAATATCGATGCTCCTTGCTTCATTTGTTGTCCCTTGATAATGCTCATGGCATATATGTATATATATAACTTTGCATGCCTTATTGACTAATAAATAAGGTGTGCATGGATGCTGTCTAGCATTCATGCCTCAAATCTTTGTTGCCTGTAACATTTTGTGTTCTGGTTCTTAGGCCATAGCGTTCTTGACTTCATTGTTGCAATGTCATTTAACAGGTTAAGCCTGCACTTCCAGCTCTTGCACGCCTTATTCATTCGAACGATGAAGAAGTCTTAACTGATGCATGTTGGGCACTCTCATATCTTTCTGATGGCACAAATGACAAAATTCAAGCTGTTATTGAAGCAGGAGTATGTCCACGGCTAGTTGAGCTTTTGCTGTGAGTATTAGACTGAACATGTACATTCTATTTCATTTGTAATGCACCCAAATTCTGAACTTTTGTAGCATTTTTCAGGCACCCTTCTCCTTCAGTTCTGATTCCTGCTCTTCGCACTGTTGGAAATATTGTCACTGGGGATGATATGCAGACACAGGTATTTAGCACTTTACAGGCATACTTTTCTTTTTTGTGCGTAAGAGGTTCATTAATCTGCTGTCCCACAATTCTAGAAAATTCTGTTATTGGAGATATTGTCTCTGTCTTAGCACTCCTGTTAGCATCTCAATAGTATCCCAAACTGGGTTAGTAAGGGTTAAATATAATAGTTGTATCATTTAGCCCACTTTCAACCTGGTATTGGATGGAAGTGTAACCTAAGGTTATAATGTGATAATGGCCTAGACCGAGATGGATTTCACTTCCAGCAACTACTTAAACAGCTATATCTTGTAAATTACTGTGAATTATTAATTATTTTCCATATTCAGTGTAATCAATTCAGTTTGGTTTTTTTAATAATTTCCAAGTGTTGGACAATAGGCTGTTTAAATTTTTCACTGGTGTAAACCCATGTTGACCATATAGCAGCACCGGTTATCTTAATAATAGGGAGGAGTTTTGAATTCAAAGTACTACAGACTTTTTGGGAACGATTACACTAGTAGGCTTGTTATATATTGAAGGGACATGGAGCAGATATGGTTATAAGCAAAAGCAATTTTTTTTTTTTTTAATTCTCTGTTATTGAGCTATTCATTAAGAATGCACATGTGGACACCTTCATTGGAAGTAGAGATTTGTTCATCCCACTTGTTGACTTGTTCTGCTACCATGCAGTGTATTATCAATCATCAAGCACTGCCGTGCCTTTTGAACTTGTTGACCAACAATTATAAGAAGAGCATCAAGAAGGAAGCTTGTTGGACCATCTCTAATATAACAGCTGGTAACAAGGAGCAGATCCAGGTAACTCAGATATGCTTGTCGGTTACATTTATTTATTAAATTGCATCGATTCAGTCTGAATATTCATGAAATTTTGCAGGCTGTAATTGAAGCTAATATTATCGGTCCACTTGTTCATTTACTTCAAAATGCTGAGTTTGACATCAAGAAAGAGGCTGCATGGGCAATTTCGAATGCTACATCTGGTGGTACCCATGAACAAATCAAGTAAGAAGCAGTAGTCTTTTTAGTTTGGGAAGTATATTTTGCAAGTTGAAGTGTATCGATCAGCCCGCTCATCTGGGTGTGCATGTGGCTTACAGGTACCTTGTCAGCCAGGGTTGCATCAAGCCCTTGTGTGACCTTCTCATTTGCCCAGATCCAAGGATTGTAACAGTCTGTTTAGAGGGCCTTGAAAACATCTTAAAGGTAGGAGAAGCCGACAAGAATGTGGGTGATACTGGAGGTGTAAATCTCTATGCTCAGATGATTGATGATGCTGAAGGATTGGAGAAAATTGAGAATCTACAGTCTCATGACAACACGGAGATATATGAGAAGGCAGTGAAGATTCTCGAGACATATTGGTTGGAAGAGGAGGATGAGACAATGCCACCAGGAGATGCTTCCCAATCTGCATTCCAATTCGGGGGCGAGGCTCCTGCTGTTCCCTCTGGCGGATTCAACTTCAGTTAAAGGTATATATTACTCGTGTGATGGTTCATATTCTGGTAATCCCAGACTAATTTTTGGTGATCAAGATGAAGGGCCATTGGGCATCTTTGCTACCCAAGGTCCCAAAAATGAAAAACATTTTTCCAACACTCAATGATGTATTCTTGATTGCAGGAGTTTTAACTGCAGCTCCATTGAAGTCCTCAAGAAGTGTGGTGAGATGGTTGTCAGGTTCAGGTCAGGTGTCTTGGAGTCATGTTTGGTCTATCTCCGGTCTCGGTTGTTGGACTGTCTGGGGTTTTACTATGGCCAGAGTTAATATGTTGCGAATGGATGTGATTGATGATGAGATGGAACTTGGGTTTTCATGTCTAGAATATTTTGGGAAACCCAAGTTCATTTCAAAAGGAGTGGTTGTCCCAGCAGATTGGGGTCTCTTATAAAAAGGACATTGAGTCTTTTTTTTTTATTTTTTAAATATTTCTTTTGTCCTCGTCTTCATGGTAGCGTCTCTGCTTCCCTTTCCACAGTCTGTTGATTTTGGCACTCGCAAAATCTTTATATTGCCGTGCCTGTAGTTACAAGGAATGTTGGAATGATGTTTCCTTTACATTGTACGAGTCGGTTGCCAAGGTTTTCTTTTCTATAAATGAGTCTCCTGGCTGTTATCTAGGATATATACAATGTACTAGGTTGTTATTTTAAGTGTCAAAAACTCATATATTGAAGGGAAAAGTAGATTTGCTACTAGTATTGATTAATTTTTTTTATTTCACCATTCCCTCTCTTTGTTCCGATCTGTCTTCATTTATCTCGTGTTTGGATAATGACTAGAAATGGCAATGGATAAGGATCTATCTATAGTTGGTGGCTGATATGTTCGTTTGTTAAAAATACTTAAATGGACATCGAGGAGGGTAATGCTTAATGGATCGGATGCACGGTGGGTGGCTGTTATGGGTATGTGTATTCACTTTATATTTTATTAATATTCATTAATTTTTTATTGAATTTTTTTTTAAACATGTTTGGATTTGATCGTACAAACTTTATAAAGTAGGTACCAAAATATTTTTTATTAAAGCTTTGGGAAGCAAAAACTTATTAATGAAGGATCAAATTGAAAAAAGATGTCAGTTGAACCAAAATGATTTTTTATTTTTTGTAAATCACAGGACTAAAGCGAAGTACTTTAAAAGTTAATTTTACAGGTTTTCAATGATTACGTAAACTGGCTATATATGAAATATGGGTTTAAAGAGTAATTTTAAGGAAAATGTTTTTTAGTAGATAGAATAAAAAATTAGGTATGGATCATCTGTGAATTCAAAGAGTACTTTCTTAATGAAAATGTCTTTTAATTGATAGAATAAAAGATTTTTTAATGAAAATGTTCTTTAATAGATAGAATGAAGGATTGAATTAATGAGTCCAGTATATAGCTATTGAAATGGATGGCATTTTCTTGTATATGATGAGATTTGACTGATAGATTATGGCCAAAAGAAAAGTTGATCGTTTTTATGATTGATTCTTCTCTGCAAAAAACGCTAACAGATGGATGGGATTTTGAAACTGCAAACGTCTGATCTTGTAGTGCCCTTTCATATGCTATCTTTAACTTGCAGAGACAAGGATTGGGGACATGGTAATGTTGCTGTCAAATATGTCTCTACCCAACTCGAAGATGATACTTGTTTCGGCTTCGACAATATGTTCATCCTCAAAAAGATAAGTAAAAAACTTCCATAATAAACAAAGTGATTTAGCCTCCATTGGTTAATCAGGCAGTTTAAAGAAATTGCAACTTTTGAATGATTCGAATTTACGTTTCAATTTTAAAACAAAATATTTATAGTTAAGAAACATATTTATGCTTTTTTTTTAAAAAAAAAAAAATCTAGAGTTAGAAAACAACTTAATTGATTTACCAAAATCCAAACAAAACCTAACCCTAACACAAGTTCATTGCCGGAAGATTACAGGCCGGTTTTCTTCTCACAAGAATTTTCAGAGATTATAAAGAACAAGAAGAATTGACAAGAAATTGCGGCAACAACAACATTAAGAAAACCAGATGTCTTAAATAATTAGCATATTAAGTAGCATTAAGAGAAACTGATCCCAAGGTACATTAGGATCAATAAGCTAAAGCAACACCAGATGTTGAAGACAAAACGACATGATAAACAAGGTTCTTAAGATAACTAGCTGTCCTAGAGGTTATTTAACATAGTAGTTAAAGACTTAAGATAGTAAGGTGGCAACATCCCGACTCCACTCTCCTTTAGAACCCACCAGTCAATGGAACCCGAGAGACTCTGTCTTCCTCAACTGCCAAAAAGAAAACAGAGAAGATTTCAGAACATGTTGAAAAACACTTGTAGAAATCAAGAAAAACCAGCGATGAGTACAAGATCTGATTGCCATGACCACACTGCTTCTTCCTGCAGTTAACAGCCTTAATTGGTAGACGACCGACCATAACACCTTACAACCCAAAACGAAAAAGACCGATTAGGGTCGCAAAAATCATGTAGATAAGCTGTACAAGCAACGTGAAATCTGAATCAGAAGAAACCATATGCCTAATCGTGTAAGGAATCAATTGCAGGTAATGAGCCAGATGACGAAAAAGGAATTGGAATCAGCATTGGGAACTAAGGTGCTCTGCTTTTACACTCTTGACAAGAAAAGAGAGTTCAACTTAGTCCCATCATTTTGGAAGGCAGCTACACAAAAATATTAAGTAGCAACACATTTTAAACATGAAAGATTAAAAAGAACGGGAAAAAGAAGGCATACTTGCGGCAGATCAACTTGTAAGCAACATATTTGTTTGCCAACTCTGGGCTCAATGTTCTTGATGCCTGCACCTTTGCCTCCTCCTCTCTGCCTCAGCACCAAATGGAGTGTAGACTCTAAACAACAACAACACAAGCCACAAGAGATCAGCTATCCTTTCCCAGAATCAAAAACCCAAAACCCAATATCACAATCAAAACTTACTAGCAGAGGTAATAAAACTCCGTGCTTGGTGTTTGAAGTGGCATAATCAGGCAATATTCAACATTGAACTTATGTTCAACTTGAAACAACGGTGTCTTCAGCATTTCAAGCTCGGAACAACAATCAAATAAAGATCATAAAATCCTACGCCTTGATGCCTCATCGCTGATATTAAACCAACGAAATTTCCAATTAGTAAGTAAACAAGAGGGACTGCAAATCTGGGAAACTGGAAAACTACTAGCAGAAAGGTAAACTATACTAATAAACAACAATTAACACAAGAAAACATGTCGTCAGAAATGAAACCACATTTAACAGAACATAAAGAGAGAAACCACAGACCTTTCTCTTTACAAGAAAGATTATAAAATCCTAGACCTTAATGTCCCATCTACATAACTAAACAAAAGGGGATCTGAATCTAGGGCACTGAAAAATGCTAATAGAAAGGTAAAATGTTGTCACAAAAAACTAACACATGAAAACATGTATCCAGATAAAAGAACGACAATCAGAAATGAAGAAGACCCCTTACAACTCTACAATAAAAAGAAAAAAAGGCAGACCTTTCTGGATGTTGCAGTCAGCCAAGGTCTGGCCATCTTTAAGCTGCTTTCCAGCAAAAATCAGCCTCTGCAGGTCTGGTGGAATGCCTATTCAACAACAAAATCTCCTTTCATTTTAAGCTGTGACCTAAGCTTAGCTTCAAGTTAGATCACTACAATAAGAAAGAGATCAGAAATGGGTTTTCACCTTCCTTGTCTTGGATCTTGGCCTTGACATTGTTGATGGTGTCACTGCTCTCTACCTCAAGATTGATGGTCTTTCCAGTTAGGGTTTTCACTAATATCTGCATTTTCTCTCTTTTTTTGCTCTCTATCTTTCCATCAGTAGAAATCAAGGACTGTTTTAGTTGTATGTCATCAGGCAGCTATTTATACGGAGCTAGTGACTTTCTTGGGGAACAAGGAACTATATGTAAAATCACTAAACCAACCCCTTAACTTGTTGTCCTGCATGCTTACTGTTTTGTCAATTAATTGTGAGAGAACAAAAATAATAATGACAGCAAATTGTACCCATCTGTTATCCTGCGTCATCAATTTGTTATCAGGTTGTCTTGCGCGTGCCCTTTTTTTCACTTGGGGTTGAGGGTTAGGACTCAAATTTGAATGATTCGTCATTAATCCAACAAAAGAAAACGATTCTTGTTAACAACATTGATCTTGGGACGACACTGAGACTATTTAAGGGATTTAGTTAATACAAATCCTGAGCAAATCATCATTTGAGACCCCACTAACAAGAAAAATGTATTCTTATCTTTAAAGCATCGAGGGGTTGATCAGTTTTTTCAAATGCTAGCATGCTGAGTTTTGAAGAAAATCCATGTCTTTGAAGTTTAGGAGATGTGGTAGAATAGTTTTCTCGCTTGGGCAAAATATGGTCAATTTAGTGTTCCTTGAAGTTAGAAAAGAAATTGTATTGGCAATTTACAATTTCTGGGGATCTGAAACCCAGGCAAGTAAGAAAAGGTAAGGTGTATTTGACACAGTTGACATCTTGGCCTCTTGGGAAATAGTCAAGGAAGCAGTCAATGTAAAGAAAGCCTATGATAGTTTCCTTTTCAAATCTCTGAGATGAGTGCTCCACGAATACGTTCCATTGACTCCCCTGCACAACAATTTAGGCATGAGCATATGCTGTCTTTAAGAATAATATTGCTTATAATCTAGAATACGAAAATAACAAAGAATGTAGTTTGCTGTCACATGGCAATCAATTTCTTGGGGTAGATCAGTTCTACACTTGCGTCAAGAAATGCTCACAAGTATCCAATTCATATTCTGCAGCAATTCGAAATGGAAGGTCTCAATATCTTAGAGAAATAAAACTTGATTAAAGGAAATTTGAACTTAAAGAAACTGAGCAAGCAGAGGTAAGCATGAATTCCACAACTAACGGATTCACAACATGGATTTTGCTAATTAAAAATTAATTTCACAATGCCGATAGTAAATCCACTGGTTGCTTACTAAATGATACCTTTTTACAGAAGTTAAAGATGTAAAAGTTGATACTGCAGCACTCTAACTGGCACAAATTGATTCTCCTACATCGGTGTTGATAGCTATTGCAAGTAAATCATGAGGATCATCGGTCAAAAACTGACTTTCTCTCTCAGATTCATGAAGAAGTAATGTTCGCTTATGATTATTGTTGTCAGCGTTTTATGTCTGTTTTAATATTTTTCAAAATTGTGAATTCTTCTCGCTGAGAATCCAAACAACTACCTTGAAAGAGAAGCAATCTTGGAAGCCACAGTCTAGAGATGTACTGTGAATTGTCTGCATAAACCCAATCCCCTGAATTATAAAGAACATTAAGTGAAAACATTTCTTCATACCAGTCTCCGTTCTCACTGCCAGGCTTTCAAGTTGGTGAATTACATCTGGATCCCACCAGTCACTCTTCTCCGCAACCACAATCTATCCAGCTATCCCAATCCTTTTGGTGGATGCTCCAACAGTGATCAATATGATGTCTCCCTGCAGTTACGTTCACTATTTAGAATAATCAAGCTCATTCTTTATCCTTTCTAGAACAGTTACAGATAATTCCTCAGAAATTAGAGATCGACCTGTAAGAACTTGACATCTGGACGGTGCCTTCAATATTAAAAGCTTATGTCTCCATGATCTCCAGGTCTCTTGAGGTTGCTGCCATTCCATTTCAATTATGATTCTTAGAACCAAAGTTCAATAATGTGGTTCACAAGCCACCTGAAACCATAATATCCAGAACGAAATCAATTTACACCAACAAAAAATTGGGAGCATTGGATTCAGAGTCACCAGCTTTTTCTGTTTTCATGTTTAACGGAAAAAAGAACCTAAAACATAATCAACTCACGTATCTCTTGCCTATCTTACATGATTGCCATAAAATCGATTTGTTCTTCCAGTTGCTATGTTCCAATAAAATTCCCACTTCCGTAAATCTAAATTTGTGCATTTATCAATAATTTGCAACAGATGGGAGAATGAAAGGCTCAGAAATCATTTGAAAGCTTGAAACAACAATTGGCGCTATTCTTAGACATGGTCTACACCTCTACCCTTTATCAACATCAGTAAATTTTTAGCCTCACTAAAAATATGACGATGCAGGTCCAATCCCTCTACATCAGCAGATTGCTTCTGTCATTCCTAATTCTTAAGGCTCCATAAGTTATTGCGTCAGCCATATTGGGCATGAAAGCAGGGATTGATTTTTAAGGCCATGCTGATATTAGCATCCCTAAAAGCAACCTATTTAGTTAAGGAACAATCCACCAATTCAGTTGGCTTTACACACATTCAGTCACTTTTAAGTGCAAAACTTTTAGGCAAAGCGAATGAGATACCGT